GCAGGGCTTGCAGTGCTCTTTTTAAGCACAACTTCTAAATCAGGCAAAAAAACGTGAAAATCAATCAGTTAATATTTCGAAAACCGTTACCCTTTTAAAAATTCTTTAGATTTCCAACATGACCCCTAAAGCCAATAATTAAAAAGTTAATTAACATACCTTAGTTAATTAGCCAACCTACCATGATGATCATCCTCTCATCTAATGTCTGCCGAGCCTGATTAATACATGATGAAGACGGCACTTGTTTAACCATTGCTCCCATTAAAAAAGAAAAAATCTGAATGAAAAATAAATTTTTGTATATATTTAAAAAAGATCAACACAACATGAACACAATACTAAAACACTGGAATCTAATTAGAGGGGTTAAAGAGGAAAATGATAGTGGCTGCTGCAAATGTATTAGCATGTCATTTATGGAAACAATGTTGCCAGGTAGTGCATTCCAGTCTTTTATTATGTAGACGAAATTTCATGTTGAAATTTCACATAATTTCTAAAAATGGTCACGATCAGGGAAAATACAGGGAGGAGGTGATAGCAAAGATTCTGTGAGATGGTTTGGATAAGATTTGATGACTGACTGATGACCATAGCGGCGGAGAGAAAATGTGTCTAGGTTAGCTGACTGGCGTAATCCCGATATGCTAGTATATGAAGAGTAGTCAGAATCCTCATATGCTAGTATATGAAGAGTAGTCAGAATAAATGAAAGGAAGGGATCTAATTGCACATGATTGTCATTCCTTGGATATGCACTTGCATGTAGTCTGGCTTCCTAAATGCACCATAAATATTAGGGTGTCAGAAGTTAAGCAAGTATCCATCCATAGATAAGGGATGCAAAACCTCCAGCCATCAGGCCAACTTTGACATGGTGTGTGGTTGTTGAAGGGATATGCCGGTAGTTTTAGTAGACTGAAATTCTTTGGCACAATTAATAAAATAATAATAAAAAAAAAACTAAATATTTTTTTTTATTTTGAAACTTTTGGTTGACTTATTTATATTATTCACGTTGGTCTAAAGATAGTCGCTTGGAACTGTGTCTGTGGGTGCCTTAGTCAAGGCAACCTGTCTTTTGCCGTGCAAACTTCTTTTTTTTTTTTTTTGCTTCACGTTGCTGGAAGGTGCTACCACCTAAATAATGGAGCTGGCACCATTTCCAGAACCCTCAGCCTCCATCATTCTAACGTCTGTTCCTGTGAAGTGTCAACTTGAGCGCATCTGTTTTTAGAGTTCACTAGTGCAATATTTCACCAACCTTTAATGTTCACTGAAGCAGTGTTGTTGTATGAATAATTCCCTAAGAAGGTTTTGATACGCACATCAGAAATTTACTGCAGCACTTAGGTCTGTGCATTTTCTGCTATTGAACAAAAACAGACTGATGAACCGACTAATCATCAAAAACCCTCGTGCCGTAAAGCTTTGGTTCATGACGTGATCAACGAGACCTGAGGCTATTATAGTGTGTGATAAATCTGCAAGAATGGACAGTTGATCTAGTTGGTAAACGTTCATGATGAAAACAGCCCAAAACACAAGGACACAGAGGAGAGAAATACATACACACAGAACAAGGCGCTGACTATCAGCTTTCTTATTTTGAAGACGCGCGAGTATGAGGTCTTCTTTTTCTTTCACTGTGGTATTGCTTCTTCCTTTACCCTGGAGATGCTTCTTTTTCGTTTTATTCGAAGAAGAAGTTATCCAAAGTCCAAGAAAGCCATCTCACTGTCCCTGAGGTTCACTGATAGTTGACTCATGCACATTGTTTTTTTTTTTCTATATGGTAGACCTCAATAATCTTCCTAGATTACTGAGTTTTGTGTTTGTACAAGATATTTGTGTCATTAAACCGTGTTTCACAGCCGCAGTCCCGGCAATGTATTGCTAAATGGGAGTATGCTCCACCTTTTAATGAACTGTGATGTTCGCAAAGTCTGATGTTTAAGCATCTCCCCGTTGGACCAATGTATGAGTGTCCGCAGGAGAATGGGGTTTTATAGACTGTCCCCATTTTGCAAGGAACAAATGCCACATAAGGCACGGCATGAAGCTAGTTCTTTGCAAAAAAAAGGGCAGGCTTAAACATCAGACTTTGCAAACATCGCAGTTTGTTAAAAGGTGGAGCATACTACCATTTAGCAATACACTGCCAGGACTGTGGCTGCGAACCACGGTTCAGTGACACAAATATCTTGTACAAACACAAGACTCAGTTATCTAGGGAGATTATTGAGGCTTACCATATAGAAAAAAAGAAAACAATGTGCGTGAGCCAACCATCAGTGAACCTCAGGGATAGTGAGATGGCTTTTTTCGACTTTAGGTAACTAACGAAGAAAACGAAAAGGAAGCGACCCAATGGCGATACTCCAGTGGAAGGAAAAGACCTCATATCCGCGCCAGTTTCAAGATAAGAAAGTTGATAGTCAGCGCCTTGTCCTGCATATATTTCTCTCCATGGGCGTCCGCAGAGGGGTGCAAGGGGGGGCAGTTGCCCCCCTTTGGAATTTCGAGGGGGGTGCAGGAAGGGGGGGGGGGGGGGGGGAGCTGCACCCACTCCAGTTAAAGGGTACTCCGGTGGTTTTTTGACTACCCAAACTAACTACATTTTCTGAATAATATGGACTTACTGTTCCCGGCAGGCTATTTTTTATCTAGAAATTCAAAATGGCTATTGAAAAAACGGCAAATCTAAAGGGCAAAAAAAAAAAGAAAAAGAAAAGATAGTGTTAAGGAAGTTTTGACTACGTCGCGAGACCGGCAAAACTTGCTTTCGACGCGTTGTGTCTTTTTTCTGCGGCACCGCGCTTCCGTAAAAATTTCCACGTGTTCTCAACGGCAAGTCTCACGGCTTACGGAGGGTTTTAAAAACTCCTTCGACGAATGATGACGAACGAGTAGAAAATGTGTCTTCAGCACGCTGCCGCTAGCCTCCGCAACGCTCCAAAAACGCGATTTTTCGACATGCAGGATGGCCGCCCAGTGGCTATAATGGTTATAATGGTTATAATGTACGCTAGAGGTTATAATGTACGCTAGAGGTTCAACTGGCTCTAGTGTCTATGCGACTTCCGGGAGGCAAATTGAAGCAGACAGCAACCAGTCTACTTTTGCGGTGCTCCCGTGCATTCCTATGGGAAATCGTGCGTGAATTTTGTCTCTTCGCCAGAAAATAACACGAACAACTTCTGTTATTTTGGTTGTAAAGGATAGTATGTACCTTTAGTAATATTGTAAAAGTGTAACTGCTTTAATTACAGTATTTTTCTTCACCACTGAACGATGTTAAGCTGCTTTATATTTCAGGATTAAACCTCTGTTCCATGGCAGGTATGTTAGAACGAGCGACGATTCTAAGCAAACTAACGATCGAAAGGAGTGGAGAGTGTGTTCAAGCTTCGCTAGCATTCCGGTGGCGCTTATATGTTGCTAATATACCGGTCCTGTCACTCTATGAAAATGACTCCGTCGTGCATCTTTACGATCGGTTAAAAAACTTTCGAATGTAAAAAATAAAGTAAGTGGGCTACGAAAGGTGCGTCTTTTTATTATTTCCTATGTCAGGCAGTTTTTATCGGGAACTTTTTCTCTGACTTCTCCTTATTTGCGAAGATTTGCAGCGTGCGGTTGATGATTTGAACCCAGAACATGCATGTTGGCACATATTCATGACCAGAAAGAATAAAGCAGCACTTATTCATTGCAAATATAACTATACTACGTGGCTTTCAATTAATTTTGATCGCCTGCATGCACAAGGAGTTACTTATCCAGTGTTACTGCGTAGTTCTTACCGTCTCTCTTGATTTCCTACATGGACTTCGTTCGTTTGACACGTATATCCCCCATGGTGGAAAGCGCCGACGCCGTGTTCGCGCTAACAGTGTCCGACAGTGCACAAAAGTACATGTACGGAGCGGTTTTAACACCGTTTTTCATGCCACGAATTTTAAGTAAAAACGCTGTAACTGACCAATTATTTCGTCTGCGTGACTGAGAAATGTTCCAGGCTACCTAGTACGTACGAATAATTCGTGATATTTGCTGTTATAATCGAGCGCAGAGAGAAAATGCACTCGCCTTCTTTCCATAGAAATGCATTACCGGAAGTCAATTTTCGACTGGTTGCTGTTTGCTTCAATTTGCAGCAGCACTCTAGCGCCAGTTTAACCCCTAGCGTACATTATTATAACTTTATGGTGGCTTCACTCGCGGAAGCGGGAAGCGCGATCCAGCAATTGTCATAGAGATCAACGGGCGTGCAGTCCAAAATCCAGGGCGCGGCCGTGAAAGCAGGTAGAGAGTAACGTGGAAACATGCTGAAAATAGCCAACATAGCTAACATCCCCGGGGGGGGGATAAGTGTGCACCCCCCTGGAAAAAGTTCTGCGGACGCCCATGTTTCTCTCCTCTGTGTCCTTGTGCTTTGTGCTGTTTTTTATCATGATAAATTTGAACAACTTATTAATAAAATAAGTGTGAATTGGTACTGCATCATACTCCAACTTTAATTGCTGGGTCATGCTATAATGCTGAACAAAAATTATGTTCCTTTAGTCAAAAAAGTTGCACCTGCATGCCATGCACTTTCGATTGTACTTGTTGTTCTTCTGCCAGTTTCCCTCTGCATAGCCTACATGCAAAGTGAAATTGGGAAATTCTAAAAAAAAGTTAATGCTCCTGGAGTAAGCTAATGCTGCTTGGTATGTTAGAAAGCTGAACTGTAAGCCACCAAGTGCACAGATGACAACATCATTGACTGATGGCATCACCTGCGGTTCTCCAAAAAGATTTTCTGCCGAATTGGCGGGAAGGTTACAGATACAGCGAAAAGACCTGGATAAGCCAAAGGTTTAAGGTTGTAAGAGTGCCCAATTTTTTTTTTTCTTTTCTTACCCATTAAGTTTGCTTCGTCATTCCGCACGTCTTCAACTGGAGGACTTGGGCAGGAGCCAGGCTCTGATCTCCCTGGGCTTATGTTCCAGGTGACACGGTGTTCATTCATGGTGCTGCGGCAACTCCGAGGGGCTTGATACCGGCCATGGTGGAACATGGCAAGAAGGCCGGCCTCAAGAATGTCACGGTGTGCCACATCCACACCGAAGGTGCTGCCGAGTACAATGCCCCAGACTGTCAAGGTGTGTCTCTCACTCTGCCTCATGACAGACATTTTCAATTTTGTGATCTTGATCGCTCTCGTCACAGCGGTGTGTTGGACGCATAAATAGTCTTGCCGTCTGTTTGCTTGTTTTTATTATTAAGCAATGATTGATGGAGCCCAAATCAGCTTAGGTAGAAGTAGCAGAAACTGCAAAAAAAATTTAGCAGTAGCAGAAACTGCAAAAAAAATTGTAATTTTGTCAGAAGTTACTATCTTGCAATCTTGACAGTCCCGAGTCCTCACAAGATGTGAATACTCAAGTCAGTCTCTAGTTGTTCTGAAGACAGTAAACTAAAAGTGTCAATAAACCCGATTTAAAGCATGCAAGAAAATTAGTGATTTTTTCGGCTTAATTTTTGTTATTGGCGAGAGGTCTTTGCTTTATGAAGGTTTTGACGATGTTTTCATGAGTTGTTTTCAGTGAATATTGTAATGTTCCTTTCTGAAATAATTAAACTGTATCTTAAACCTTTACTTTTTGCCCAAAACTTAGTAGGTGAGAGATTTTATTAGCTTCAACTTAGGGTTATTGTCATTTTATTGTTTTCCTCACGAAATGGGAATCTGGAATGCAGTAGTTTCTAACATTTTATGTTTAGAATGTATGGTGGCCTATTAGAAATGATTAAATACGTTATAAGACAACTTACATTATAAGAAATCTCACTAATATCCTCCGATATGATCTATGTAGGATGCTATATATTCTGCCATATCTTTTTTTGTATAAATTTTTCAAATGTAATATCAGACTCAAAATCTGCATTAAGAACTACATCTACATGCATGACAGGTGTGAATAAATAACAAAAAAAAAAAGTTAAAGATCCTAATTCATATTATTTATGAAAGGCAAATGTCCTTGCCAATTAAAAGTCATTGTGCATAGTGACCATATCATACCACAGTCTCATAAAAATGTTACATTAGTTGACATTAACTTTGTTCTTGCGAGCTTAGCCAAGCATATTGTCTGAACTTGCGCAGCATTCTGGTGCCACTCATAATTGCCAAAAGTGTGCTTGTTCTTTTTTCCATCAAGAACAATTGGCATTGGATAACCTTTTTGAATTGCGCAATGATAGTCCACGCTGAATGTGTCCTGTGGCAAGAAATATTGTGGAACCAACAGTTCAAGAAAGTGAAGAGCTAAGTTAGAAAAGCACTTCTGTATGAACGAATGAAGGGTACTGCAACATCTCCTTGACATCTTCAGTTTCTCTGTGTGGGTTCAGCGTACATTTCTTGTTGTGAATACTTCTAGTGTACATGTTTGGGATTAAATTTAGGTCTGAAGAGGCCATAAATGAAGCGACTTCGGGCTTATCTCAACCCGTCCAGGTCGTGTAAAACCGGTCTGGCCAGCCTGCCTGGAGTTCAATGGCCCTTGCATTGCAAGTGCATTTCAACAGAAAGCTGCTGGGATGGGCTCTTTACTTTGAAGAAGCTACTTGTTTGCTTGCATCAATGGGAAAATATTTGTTGCTGTGGAATATTTGTATGTTTACATAATAGAAATATTCAAGTGTGTTTAGATTATTGAAGTTACTAAAAGATTAACAGCAGTGCTCAGAAGTTTGTTGTTAATTTCTTATATATAGCTTAGAAAAGCTTTGCATGCCATAAGGACAGTTTGGTTGCAATAATAAAAATAACAAAGCCAACTGCTATAAAAAAACTATAGTTCTGAAAAAAAAGCTATAACTCTGAAAAGTTGTAAATTTTATCCATGCAAAAAATAGCACAAGGGCAAAAAAAGAAGCAAGCAATGATATTAATTGGACAGCATTTAAGATTTCGTTTCCATATTTCTTTTTGTCCAAATTTGGAAATCAAAATAAATAACATTTTTTTTGTGGAAACTGTAAATTGATAAAATGGTAAAAATTTTAGTTTCTGGAGCTAAAAGGTATTAAACTGAAAAGAGAAAAATAACTATGTTTACATGCTGCCTCATCTGAAGGCTTATGGCACAAGATAGGAACCAGATAAAGAGTTAGAGAGAATGGTCCTTTTAATTTAATTACACCATATAGAAAAGATAAAATAATATATAAATACAAATTCCACAACTTTTTTTTCTCATCAAAGATGGTTTTGACAAACATACTTTGCTTACAGGTTTGCATCCCAGCATGTGTCTGATCAGCTGTCGACTGTTTTGGGATGAAATACTCTATTCTTCTGCATGTCTTCAGTGTTCTCCTAGCTCCAAGGTTTCTTGCAGTCTCATGGTGTAACACTGTTTGAATACCCGTATGTGGCCTTGACTGTATCAAAACTGGGCCTGTTCTTCTGCTGAGCGACAAGCACATGCTGCAGTTCACCACAAGAAAAAAAAATGCAGCCACCAAAGCACAGTGTCACATGTTGAGTCTGTCGTGATCCTTAAGTTCAGAAAATGCCTAGAAAGTAAGCAAGAATGCAGAATTTTTTTCCCCCCAAAAAAACCAAGCAATGCCCATAAAAAAAAAAAATCCAGATTGCAAAACGAAGACTATTGGTGCCAGGGCCCCTAAGAAAAGCTAAAACAGTTCATCTCGCATGCACCATCGATAGATGCATGCGAGCTGTCTGAAACATCTTCGTCTAGTCAGGTTGCAAGATGAACTTCAGTATATCTCTGACTTTTGGTGCTGCATTGGCTCTAAAAAAAAGAAAGGTTAAAAAATTTAGTTATGTCTCGATCACATCGTTTAAACTTGGAGACGCACAGAATGGTGTGTACAATGTCGCGCAACTTCATGGTATCACGTGACTTCACAGTGTCATGTAAGCTTATGTGACTTTGATCTGTGCGTCAGTTGAGCACGTGTCGCTTTTGTCATGAAATTCAGCGCCATAACGCATTCTGCGTTAACAGACGGGTTTCATCTTGTGTTGTCCATGGCCTTTTCAGGGATCTTCCGCAGCATGTCGTTCTTTGTGGGCGCCAACTGCCGGGAGGCGATCAACAGCGGGCGTGCGGACTTTGTGCCCATCTTCCTCAACGAGATCCCGCTGGTGTTCCACAAGGGTGTCCTGCCCGTCGATGTGGCCCTGGTCCACGTGACTCCGCCGGACATCCACGGCTACTGCAGCATGGGCACCAGCGTGGACTGCGCACGTGCCGCCCTCACCCACGCCAAGTACATCGTCGGTCAGGCACTTTTCGGCTTCTCGGTCGCGGTTCCCCCGTTCCTCCCGAGCCCTCTTCCCACGCACGCGACATACCCTGCACGCGATGCTGTCAGTGCGAGCGCGATACCAGCATTTACAGTCTAAGCTCGTTACAACAGATTTAGTTACTACAGACATTTGGATATAACGTACTGATTTGTGAAGTTCATTTAGTTTTCCTCTATGTACCACTGACTCAACTTCATATTTGCATACAACATACTCCTTTTACAACAGAAATAGAGCTTATACTCCATTTCATATTTTATTTCGGAAGGGGATTGGCAGGCACCAAATTTTTTTTGCCGAGCTTTGTGTCCCAAATGAGCACTTTCACCGCACTGGCAGTTTTGGTGAAAGCCTTTTGATTCTAAGAAAAAAGAAAAAAGAATTCGGTGATTGCTTATTTGCGCTAAGAATGTTGTGCTGTGCACATTTAATGATTCCAGAATGAAAGTGGTTGGTTCTTGTTACAGGCAGTCTTTTATACGGTTACAAACTGGTGTGAACTGACGAACCAGTTTGTTTGATATACTATAAGTCTCCTTCGAAACATGCCCGATTTTAGAGGCAAAAATTTGAAGTTTGTACATCATTAGCTTGCTGACGGAGGCATAACTGCTCACAAAGGCGTTTTTTTTCTACGATGGGTTTAGCATATTGGAGTTTCAGAAGTCTGTCTCACCCAGCTGACAAACTTTTGATGACGAACCTAAATTAGCAGTCATTTTGTGCTGGTCAGACCAATCCTCTGTACGGCACGGGTTCTCAAACTTTTCCATCTCGAGGAACCTCCATATACCTCGAGTGGCAGCCAAGGAACCCTTCCTAGTCTTGGGATGGATGCAGTAAAGCAGTTAAAAAACCTGCAGACCTTTTTGGAAATCACGACATGCATACTAGGCAGTTTCCAGCACGTTGTTACGCATCCAGATGGTTCGGATCTTCTAAAATAGCGCTTAAACTGAAAGAACACTTCACCGGGGGGCAGGGACGGTCGAGGAAACTTGGGAGCTCGGGGAACCCACAAGGGTATTCTGGGGAACCCCCGGGTTCTTAAAAACCCAGTTTGAGAACCTGTGCTGTACGACGGTGAAACAGTTTTTCACATCTCATGAAAATACCATGCTGGACACACATTCCTCCACAATTTTCACAAAGTTCATCAATCTATGCTTGTGCAGTTTACTACAAGACCTAATACATTGACGAGCTGATTTTTAAGGTTAAATGAAAGTCCCATTATGTCCACTAAACGAACGGTTAAATTTGTTTTGTGGAAGTTTAGACAGTGGAAGTAAAGTCTCAGTGGTCCGAGCTGTAGTTTGAGCACCCATGAACAAGTCCCCATTATTGTCCTTGTTTATTAAATGCCAGCAGCACTATAAGCTGGCCCAGTTTACTGATAGCCAAAAGCGGTAAAATGCGCCATCCGGCATGCTAAGCTATGAAACCGACCACTGCATTGCGACAGTGGCAGAGCAGTCCAACCTCTTTTTTAACAGCTTAATGTGCCCGAGGCTCCCGAAAGCTTTTGTGCCACCTTGGCCCGAAAGCCGCTGGGACAACTTGTACAGCTTGGTGATATACTGTGCTCAATAAACAGACAGAGAGGCAGGTAAACAAGACGAGCACCAAACTTCAACTAAACATTAATTGAAACTGTCCAACGAAGAAAAGAAAACCACCACACCACAATCGCGTCGACATCTGCTCATAAAGGAAATATCTTTTTAGTGTAAATAAACCAAAGATTGGCTTAAGCTTTTATCCTCCCCTCTTCCTCTTATCTCCTGTACTTCCAAAAGTTCTCTGGCAGTCCTGTCATCCCCCTCCCCGAAATCGTGATGTTCCCAATTTTCGGTAGACACCTGCGTGTGCCACATGCATTTTCAATTTGCTGCGCCCTGTACACTCCGAAAGTTGTGCTGTAACACGGCACAATGAAGTGATTCCCACACATGTATTTGCATTGGACAGGCCAGGTGAACGAGCACATGCCCCGGACATACGGTGACGGCAACATCCACGTGTCTCACTTCGACGCCCTAGTGCAGCACAATGCGAAGCTGCCCGAGCACAAGCCCTCCCAGCTGACCGACGTCGAGGTCAAGATCGGCAAGAACATCGCCGAAAACCTGGTCGACAACGGGGCTACCCTGCAGATGGGTGGGCACTGGCGTTCATTTCTTTGTTCACTCGTTTGTTACGGGTTAAGAAACAGCTTCTAAAGAAGTCCACCCTTATTTTCTATGCCGGTGCAAAAACTAATGCTTGTTGTCCAACTTTGCCGTCAAGCTGTGCAGACATGAATTTCGGAAATCTTGTCTCGGCAAAAATGCGATGGTGCAAGTTATCTAAATTTGCGTGTTGGAGAATGAAAACGTAGGACATAGTGCATGTGTAGCTTCCCGATTCTTGCAATATAATCCGTGATATTTCCGAGGTTGAAATATTTTAACCGCTATGGATGAAGTCGGGAGACACAGCATGTGTAGTGCATGTCAAACTCCTGCCACCATTCATATTTGCAGCAGCATGAGTACATAGCAACTCTAACAATGCTAACCAAGGCTGCTCCACAATCAGATTACTGAGTGGTTTGATGGCACACGTTTTTTGTTTTTTTTTGTAGACGCTTGGCTTAGGCTCGGAAATCATTCCCAAAATGCACTCCGAGTTAAACATTTCTTGAAGGCTTAGTCGCACAAGCAGGGAAAATTATAGTTTGGAAGCGTAAAGACATGTGGCCATGGAAATGAAGGGACTCTGAGTGGTCCAAGCTGAGCCGGAGATGCTCATCCTTCATTTTAATTATCAGGATGAAGGATGAAGCATTATATGGAAAGGTCCGGCCGGCTTGTATTAATTTTACAGATACGCTGCACGTTAGGTCCCAGCTGTTGACGTGGAGCGACTTCCGGTTGTTTTTTGTTGAATTGTAGATCGCAACCGTTCTGTCAGTCTTTGGGGGGAGCACGTTTTTCAGCATTGTTTCAGTCGGTACATAAACGTGTTGTATGAACATTGCAGTACCATTTAAGGCCCGTTCACTCCCTTGCGACCTCTTAAAACTGGGTTCCTTAAAACCTCTTACAACAAGAGGACACACTGGCGCCATCTATTGGGTAACAGCGTAAACTTGGCGGTCTGGCATATTTTCTATTTCTCTCGCGCATTATTCTTTCTTTCTTGGCCCGAAAAACTTTTGTCAACGTTATAAACGAGCCTTTCTTATAGGTATTACGCACATTTGACCTCAGAAATACCGCAAAACCTTCGCTCTTGTGAAATGCAGTTCCAGGGTCACCGCATAGATGGCGCCAGCATGCCAGTCTGTTTTCTCGTCCCAAGAAATTTTAAGAAGTTTTAACAAGTCTCGTCTCTCTCGGTCGTACTCGGTTGCAAGAGTGTGAACGGGCCTTTATAGTTCTTCACAGGGTGTAATAATTACAATAATTAATGAAGCAATGGTGAGGGTGCTGGTTCTCATTCTGGCTTGTCGGCCAAACTAAAAAAGGGTCTCAGTCTCCCCCTCCTGGAATGTGTGTGTGTGGATCATATGGGACCGCCTCCGAAATATAGGACTCCCACCCACAATTTCTGGTTATTGATCAGCCGCCTGCAGTTGATAGCCGAGGAACCTCAATTCTCTTGCAGTGCATCGATTGAGAAAGCTTTGAGCTGCCGCGACTGTTGGTTGGTGGCATTGGCCTTTTAACACGAGTCTCTCGTCCTTCTCGGGGTGCTGCAGGCATTGGCAGCATCCCGGATGCGGTGCTGAACGTGCTGAAGGGCCACAAGGACCTGGGCATCCACTCCGAGATGTTCAGCGATGGCGTGGTGGACCTGGTGGAGGCCGGCTGTATTACCAACAACAAGAAGGTCATTGAGAGGGGCAGGATCGTGGGCAGCTTCTGCATCGGCACCCAAAGGCTCTTCGACTTCATGAACTGCAACGCGGGGCTCGGTGAGGGGCCGGTTACCTCTTCCGCCGTGGTAATCTTGTTGTGCGCATGTTAAGGCGGCGGGAAGTTGGTCAGCCCCAACGCGTGTTTGGTGTCTCTGCTGTAGGTGAGAAATTTACCCAGTGCAATGCCACTGCTAGCCCAGGGGTCTTTAACGTGGTTTGTGCTGCGGTGATACGCGACCGCACACCAGTACAGTGCTCATCCAGGTTGAAACGGGCATGGCTGGGTATTGCACCCAGGATCTCTGGGTTCTGCAGCGCGATCTTCAGCTCTATGTGGTCAAAGTTGCAGTGCGCCGACACATTCAGCCACCGATCCGCTCTTCCATCGTTTCTCTTGTCTAGATCCAAAATGGGCTTTGTTGGAGGTGCGTGAGGGATGAGAGCGGCTACACAAGCTGCCGAGCCAAGTTCGAGGCAGAGCACCATAGATATGTCTATACTACTTTGTTTCACCTTAAAATAAAGCTTAACTTGAAAAGAAAACGAAACAAGTTAGAGGTGAATTTTCAACATTGTAAAACCCGAGACTTGGGACAAAAGAAGAAGAAAAAAGGGGACAACACAGACACAGGTGAATTTTGGTGTATTTTTATCCTGTGAATCTGAATAACATTTTCTTGAAAATGTAACTAAATGCGAAAAAACACGAAAAACTTCCGACCAGTCGTGACGTCATACTAGGATCTTTGGGCCGCCAAGTTCAACGTTACTAGATCCCTTCAGTTATCAAACTCCCCCGGCGGCGACTGTCGATGCGTGGCCCATTTTCGTTTCCGCTAGCCAGATGGCGCGGCGGCCACCGTTAGCCCGGTGCCCTGCGCTTCGTAGCGCGACGCGCTGGCGGTTTGTGCAGCAAATGGAATTATTTACAAAAACGTTAGGGCACAAACGAGCTGGTGAAGGTTTAACATAATTTTAGACAAACCCTCCAAGACTGGGGAAAAGACGAAGGACAGCACAACACACAGAGTCTCAACTCTGTGTGACACTCGGTGTATTGTGTTGTCCTTCATCTTTTCCCCATTCTCGAGAGTTTGTCTAAAATTACGGCATTCTTTGCCTAGAAATTGTGTCATGCAATGCACCACCGATTTTTGCAGTCATTAGGGACCTCTTCAGACGTTAGGGAGAGGCTCTAAATGAGCGGAATGAACAGGAGAAAGCAGCAGCGGCGAAGCTGCCCGGAAAGTATCACCGCCACTCTTTGCGTACACTCGTTACTGAAAACAAAAAATAAGCAAAGCAAAGAAACTTTATTCTTTCGGTGGCGCGAAAAGCACTTTGTGCGAGGCACAAAAACGCACACACAATGCAATTGTTGAACACGGTTTCATAATAGACGAGCTTTTTTGCTGGCGATGGCGACTCTCTCAAGAATTGCAGGTGACTGTTGACATCCCTCGCGTAAAAATACATCCGCGTGGCAAAAAAAAAAAAAATAAATACAACACTTGGCACATGAACGTGGGCTTGTGCTGATCACAACCCAGCCGCATTACATCGCACTCATCCAGCTCGTCCAGAACCTTCCAAAACAAGTCTCCACAGAGACCTTCCTCATCACGAGCGAGTGAAACTGATTCATATACAACTCTCACGAAGTGTAGCCTCTTGATGCTGGGGTGCCTCAGGCTGCCTTCCTTGAAGCTCCGATATATGGTCAAGTATGCGTCAGAACCGACGACAGGAGCTGCTGAACTAATGTCATGCAGGCACAACTGGCACTCTGTGCGCTTGCTCATTTTGTGAACAACATACCCAGATAGGTGATATGCAACACTGCCGTTTGGTGAACCTCTAAAGTAGCTGTGCTCATCACTCATTTGGTCAGGAGTAACACATGGAAATGTCATTTCCAGTAGCCTAGCCTGAATCTCATTGCTCAAGCTAGCTCTGTTTGATCGACGAGCCTCTCCAGCGGTCTTCAATGCGTCCTCCACACGAACAAGTACAACATTCGGCTCGCCTTGAACTGCTGCAATCGACCGCTCACCTTGTTCTTTTCGGCGCCTGCATTTTGCCGGGGACAGTCTGCGAGTAGGTGCTTTGCGTTTCCGTGTCGGTTTAAAAAAATACTTGGGATGATTCGGGAACAGGCGAGGCACGGCGTCGTGCTTCAGTGCCCATTTGTCGCACGGTATCGCTACCACATCACCACAAACGTTGTGCTCGAAGACCTTCAAGATGTCATCATCGTGGAAGTGAAGATCGCAAACGGAAGACGAGCTCGAAAGCTTTTTGTCCAGCCTTGGTACTGCGCGCTTCCAGAGCTCAAGGCGGTCAGCGTCGCTGGGTGGCCTGAAAAAAATGTCTCTTCTCTCCAGCAGATCGCACAGAATCGTACCCGCTTTTACACCGTTGCACGAGAGAGCGTGGCATAGTTCATGCAGTCGCAGAACGATGAACAAACACCACACACGCGGTACGAGCACAAACGGAAACACCACCGTTGCACACTACCCGCAACATGTTTCACGTGTTGCTATGCCGGGTCGGCCGTGGGGTTTGGCGCCTTGCCGGGCAAACTCCGTCGCGCGCGCCCCCAAGCGGAGCGCAACAGATAGGCATCAGGCGGAGCTCCGCAGTTTGAGAACTGAAGAGTATCTAGTAACGTTGGCCAAGTGGGCGTCGCTCGTGTGGGCAGCGCTTGCAATTGCAAGCTTGCCGGGTATATTTTTACGCACTGACACCAGTCGTGAAGTCTATTTCCGACCTTTATGAAAATAGCAAGAGCGCGGGTGCATAACTTCGACAGGCACTGAAGATGCGCGAGAGCAGGGATTCTAAAAAGTCCTAGTATGTGTCACGCCCCGGGAAGAAGGGGCTTCGGCGGTACTTTAAAAATTAATTCCTGCAGCCTCCGTGCACCAAATTGAAAAATAATTTCGATATTTGTAACGCTCGAGGTCAAATGAAGACGATTTAGGTGTTTTTCTTCAAATACAGAACCGCTTAGTCTCCCTTTAAATCCAGATGCAGCCTATATGCTACGAGTAGCTGACCAATCGAATAACTTCAGCGTACCGGATCGGTGTTCATCATGTTTTTGCGAGTGTTCTTTTATCGCTGAAACAATTGTGTGCGGGGAACGTCCAGTGACTCACACTTTTGACACTGTTTGATTGGTTCCATGACCTTGTAGCATCAGCTACGTCTGGTCTTGAGATGAAACGAAGTACATCTATTGAAAAAACAAACCTGGAGAAGGACCATGGCAGTACAGAAACTGACAGTGAGCCACTAGCATTATTTGTGTTGTCTTACTAATGCCAAATTCAGGAGCTAGATTAAAGGAGTACTCTGGTGTCTTCTTCATGTTCCCCGATTTGACTGAAAATTGGCTAAACACACCAACACGCCCATCGTAATGTTCCGAGAGATGCCCCACCCCTATTTTTGGTATGATTTGCTATATTTTTGCACAAACTCCGAAAGATAGCCCACTTCTACTAATTGCAGGGTCCCAGGCAATCGTGACCTCGGCAGGAACGGTGTCACTTAGCCACAGCAGGAGATAAGCAAACACTGCCGACTAGGAAGGACAGTCGTCTTTGGTTTATCGCTCCTCCCTGCAATTACAAGTTTTGCAAATCAGAGGATCTAAAATTAGCATTTTTGAAACTTTTTTTTTGATCGCACACTGAAAGATTGCCAGCTCCTTATTTTCATCCGATTTTCTTCCGATTTTCGGTGGGCCATCTCTCGAGATATTACGGTAGCTGAATTCGTATGGTAACTCGAATATTAGGCCAAAATAATTTTCGTTTGCAAAGTTATTGGATTTGCACGTTTGGTCGTCACCAGAATGTAAGATAGGCAGGTGGGGAAACGGCCCATAGAAGCCTATCGCAGCGCCGTGACCAAATTGTGTAATCGTTTGCTTGTGGGTACCCCCGATTTGCGACAGATGGCGCTGCGGCGAGAGGAAAAAAATCGGAATCGGATTTGCATGGAACTTTATGGGAGAGTGCGCAAAATAAACCGAGAGCACGACAGTCCTCTATTGAAAATCCACGAGAAACCATCTCCATCAGTTTAGCCGGTCACCACCGGTCGCCCACCTGGGGTAAGAGTTTGCGGTGCTCCACATAGATGGCACCACAGAAAAAGAGAAAACCGAGGGGGACAGAATCCGGTCGCTCATTTGGCTCTCGTTTCCACCCCTGTCTGTCTTACACCCTGGTCGTCACCCTGTTTTTCAAACTGAAAGTCTAGTGGCAACGATGAAAAAGGGATGCCAGTGGAAGGCCCACCTTTTAGACTGTAGAATTTGTTCCCAACTGATTGCAAGCAGTTTCATGGTGTCAAACGAATGCTTTGGAAGCTTGCTCTAGCACACTCCTTGATCAAGCTCCGTGTTCTTCCAAACAGTGCCCCTACATGAACACTGAACGTAAGGCCTGTTTTCTACGTCTTCTGCCTAGGACGTTTGCATTGTACTGTCGTTTTATGAACTGCTACTTGATGATACCAATATTCTGCTTTGCAGTGATGCTGGACGTTGGCTATGTCAACAACCCTCAGATAATCTGCGAAAACCCCAAGGTGACTGCCATCAACTCGTGCATTGAGGTGGACATCTGTGGCCAAGTGGTGTCCGACTCCATTGGACCAAGGATCTACTCGGGTTTGTATTAACAGAGCCAGCCGACTCAATGAAACCTGACTTGTTAGTGATGGGTCAATATGAAAGCACATAAGAAGTGACTGCTGGTGATGCCTATACCTTGCCTACAAGATTTTAAGCACTTTTCGGCTCTAGCTCTTGCAAGGCGAGCGTTGGAAAACCTAAGCTTGTAGGCAAATCACTGCAAACAAGTTGCAACTCGTGACCATTTTGAAAATAAAGGGGGTGATAAGGATCAGGTAAGGGGACTTAGAATTAAGGAAATAATTAATTGTTTGACTAGATCATCCTTATACTGTATCAGTTTGGTTGTGTAGATGGTTGAAAAAAAACCCGAGACTGCGGGTAAACAACACAACACTAAAAAGTCTCTAACACAGCTGTGTTAGAGACGTTTTAGTGTTGTGTCGTTTACCCGCAGTCTCGGGGTTTTCTCAACCATGTACACCAGCTCATTTGCGCCCTTACTTTTTGGTTATGTAGATTCTTTAATATCATATAGTGGATATAACGGAGCAGCTGGCATAATTTGAGGCACAATATTGCTTTCGGCTGAATCGAGCATGAAACTTTGTCGGTCGGTAGCAGTGTGCAGTTGCCTTCCTACAGGAATCAACTCTTTGCCGGCAATAGTATCTGTTCAGTGCATTTTCGTTTCAAAGGCAGGGAGACCGGTCTATACAGGCTAGACTGAAGTTATTTTGTCTTTGCCATGCCATATTTGAGGTGAGCGTGACTTGTCAATCACTGGGCACCCTCCTTAAGGTGCAGTAGTTGACTCTTCGCCTGCTCTGCAGGGAAGTAGACACAAGGAACCATCCCAGAGTGCAGGAGTGCATTTTAACTATGAAAGCTGCGACAAGCCCAATTGACTTTGCGCATATATTCCTCGTTGCACATCTGCCAATGTAAAATCGAGCCTAGTAGTTCGGTTCCCTGCCCTATTGCCAACAGGCTGTGGTTGGGGTGACCGAATTTCATGATTGGTAGCCCACACCAAGGGATGGTACATGATGGCATTCCTGTCCCATTTGCATTCTCCTTCTCAGCTGCAGTGTCTGACGCTTAGGATATGGCACTCCCAAAACATTCTTGATTTTCTAAAATAAACACTAAACCTAGGAAAAAAAAAATTTTTTTTCTACCTGGTTGGGACAGACATGCCTCAAAATTAACATGTTAATTAAAAAAAAAAAAATTTTGTTACAATTTGAATTTTTCGTTTTGTTGGTGAAACCGATACTGTAAAATCCTGAGAGGTCGCTGCTTTGAAGCGTTCTTCCACAGAACAAGCGCTCGCGCTAAAAATGCATGTCTGAAGGCCAGGAACCTGGGCTAGCTTGCGCTTGTAGCTTTGGATGCAGTCTCAGCATAAAAGTAAACATAGTATAGTTGAGTACAAACGCTATCATCATCCCACAGACAAAGCTTCGGTTTCACTCACAAATAGAAAAATTTGTATTGTAACATAAATATTGAACAAGAAAAAAAAATTTTTCAATTTTTCTTTAAACATGTTTGTCTTGATTAGTGGGTAAATTTTTTTTTTCTTTTCCTAGGTTCAGCGTTTCTTCAAGTGCCTGTACACAAGTTGCAAAATGAACTTCCCTAAATAAAAAAAAAAAATCTTTATTGCAATATTGCATCCCTCTAACGAAGCGGAAAAGCGTGCCTCGCCGAACTGGCCTTAAAGGGGCACCACCAGGTTATTTATGCTCGCCAAGGTTTTTATTTGTACATGACATACGAGACTACCCAGAACACAATTTGTGGCTGAAAATTTTTCTTTCCACCCGAAAACTGCCAATTGAGAACTGGCCGGTTTGAGTAGTGCTCACTCTTCTCTGCGGTCACGTGCCGTTTTCTATGGTTCAGACACGACTACCAGACATAATCAAAGTCGTGGGTCATCTATGGCACACACCCAATATTAAAAATAGGAAAAAAAAATGAAAGCCGTTTACAACTCCCTGTAACGCCGAAATAGAGCGCAGCTCTTGAGGAGGAGGAGGGAAGGGAACTGGGGGGGGAGTTAGTCAAGTGACCTCGGGTGGCGGAGGGGTCACGTGACCTTGGGGGGGGGTCACGTGACCGTGGGGTGTCACGTGACCTGGGGGGTCAAGAGACGTCAACAGCGACATAACTGATGACGTCATCAGTGATGATGATGATGACGATGCGGATGCCGGTGACGTCATCAGTGACGTCAATGATGACGTCATCATTGATGATGACGATGACGATGCGGATGCCGGTGACGTCATCAGTGACGTTACTGATGACGTCATCAGTGGCGATGACGTCAATGGGGGTCACAAGACTTCGGGAGGGGGGTCACGTGACCTTGGGGAGGTCACGTGACACCGGGGGGTCCCGTGACCTGGGTAACCATCGTGAGGGTAACCCTAGTAACCCTTGTGAGGGTAACTCTCGTGACCCTCGTGAGGGTAACTCTCATAACCCGCGTGAGGGTAACTCTCATAACCCTCGTGAGGATAACTCTCATAACCCTCGTGAGGGTAACCCTTATGAGGGTAACTAACCCTCGTAACCCTGGGTTACGAGGGTTAGTAACCCTCGTAGCCCTCGTGAGGGTAACCCTCGTGAGAGTAACCCTCGTAATCCTCACGAGGGTTATGAGGGTTACTCGCGGTTACGCCGACGCCGACACCGACAGCGACGCCGCTCAAGCCGGGAACGGGCGCCTAAGAGCTGCGCTCTAAAATCATGTACTAGTTCCCATTTTATCGGGCTTTTGAAAAACTGCAATACATTGACTGAAAAACAAAACGAGACATCATTACTGCCTGATGCACGTTAAAGATCCCAGGCTAGCGGCTGTACTGCACTGGTTAAATTTTTCATCTACAGCTGGGAGACAAGTTGCCCGTTCCAAACTGTATAGACATACACACACCCCAATTTGTTTTTATTTTTTAAAGAAAAAGTTGTACAGTTATGTGACTTCTGGCAACTCTCTCCTCCTCTATATTTCTTCTTCCTCCCCAGACCAGTTTCGGTTTCAGATTCGAGCAGCTGCGTTTTTCCACTTTATTAAAAATATGTGCGATGCTATAGCAAAATATTGATTGGGTAGTCTTCTGATAGCATAATAATTTGCCTGGCGAAAAATTTAAAACATATTTTGGGCGGTGGGAGTGTCCCTTTAACGGCGAGGGTGTGCGGCTGCGTTGGCAGGTTTCGGGGGCCAGGTGGACTTCCTGCGGGGCGCGGCCATCTGCAAGGACGGCAAGGGCAAGCCCATCCTGGCCATGCCCTCGGTGTCCCCCAAGGGCATCAGCAAGATCTGCACCTACATCAAGCAGGGCGCCGGCGTAGTCACCACCCGGGCGCACGCGCACTACATCGTCACCGAGTACGGCATCGCCTCGCTCTTCGGCAAGAGCATCCGACAGCGCGCTCACGCCCTCATCAACATTGCCCACCCCGACCACCGCGAGACGCTCGAGAAGGAGGCCTTCGAGAGGCTCAAGTGCATGCCTTCCCCGTGAGCAGCTGCCTATATCCACCATGCAGTCGCGCCAATAGAGGTACTTACGTTTTGCAGCAAAAGGTTTACTCCCTCTTTGTCTTTCCAGTCAGTTAATTTTTCCGTCAGAAATTTATTTGCCATAAGGCGGATTCGGCAGCACGTTTGAGTCGTCCGTTTCGATTCCCTCATTCTAAAGCGCTGGGAAAACGGCGCGTGCCGCAGTCTCCTGTTGTTATCTTGCACTTCTTGTTATTAGGGAGGGGAGCCCGTTTTTTTAATTTGTTTGTATAGATCCTTTGGCCCAATCGGCAATAGCCGTTTCGGCCATATGTGCGCGGTGCACCTTAACAACGTTATGCTTTCTGCGAGCACAAAAAGGGGCAGGTTTTTATCGTTGCCTTCAGTCTTTGGTGCATACGTCCTAGATATGAACCGGCATTTAAAGAGTCTTGCACGTTATAACGTTGTTACTCGAAACTGGTTTGTTAGCACTGCCAATTATCACGCTCAATGTGGAAAAGAGGAAACGATATGCAAGATTGGTTTGGATTCGAGTCTTCCAAGTTTGCCGCGAGAAAGTAATTGGCACCTGTGCCGTACTAGTAGCTACGGCATGGAAGCTTTCGAGGCACAAGCACCTTGCCTGTACCACCCTTTACTCCTCTCCGTAGTGAAAGCTACGTGTCGTGTCCTTTTCGACGTTACAACTTCCGCTGCATGGGATCATATCTGGAAGGCAATTAGAGACCTGTCAAGCACCCTTACGAATAAAGTGATATTTTAGGAAAACCTTTCGTTGCTTTGGTCTCATTGACGCCTCTCCCCAACAGGAGATAAGGCTACGAGTACAACTTCGGTCCAAATTTTGTACACATGGGCTGCTTTTCAGTTGGGAAAAGTAAATGAAAATCAAGTCCTTTTCACATCTTTTTGGGAGCTTGTATACTTGTAACGAGGCAAATATTTCCTCATTCTCGGTGCCCATACAGCTGCTGCAATCTAAAAAAAGAACAAGCTGCAATATTTTTTTAAAGCTAGCCACAATGGACCAGACATGGAGCCCACCTTTCATTTTTTCAATTGTACCAAGAGCCAGTAATTAGGGTTGTGTGCAAATAGTCCTTCGAATTGAATAACGCTCCGTCATTCATAGCCTTGACAATGCAATGGAAAGCCAAGACTGCCGGTTCCTTCAGCGGCAGAAGCTAGGAATGCTCTGTGCTTTTTGGTTCCAACCACTATTCGCACACCCCTCCTGGTAATGACAAAATGTTTGGTGCATACAGGACAGAACCATTTACTTGAAATAATGTCAAAACTTGGGCCTTTCCTGCACTATGGTGAAAAAGGCAGATGTAACATGTAATGTATTGCGTGTTGCTTTGCGGCCATGTTGCACAGATGCGTTTGGTACATATTTTGTGCCTCGATAGCACGAACGTTGTGCACAGTGTCTCTGAAAGTAAGCCTTGCCAAAGCGATCCCACGGAAGCGGAACGCAGAGTTTGCTTTCCTTTGATTGCGCACTCTAGGTTTGACCCTTCCATTTCTTGTCTTTTCATTTCCTCCAAAGCATGTTATTGCTTTCCTACTCTCCTCCTGCACACACCCTAATCATACATGCAAGCTGAGGCCAGCTCGGGACGTAGACTGGACTCAAGTGCTGCGTTGTCGTTCAGCCTGGACTTGTATTCAATCAGGGTACAAGTTCCAGTTGAATGCTGATGCAGCACTTGAATCCAAATTTGGTGCAATGCTCTTTCGTTACAGGAAACTGCTAGGAACCGACCACATAACACATTCTGTGTTAAGAGAAAAGATCTAACATATTGAGCCAAAAACAACTGTTATTACTGACGAGGATGCAAAATGGTGCTTATGAGGAAACCAAAATGCTTGTGCAGAAATATGTGCTCCTGATGGGGGAAGGATTAACATGGGCATGGAAGTGGGGAGTTAAACTGCCTTTTGAGTGGTAAAAGGGGAGTAACACTTAATTGGAATCCCATGAGGTGCATTGTGGAATTTGAGGGAGTATGAACTGCAACGTACAACGGATAGTACATGTTTACTGCAGATAATGCTATCAACTGAAACTCGTGGTGTTATCAAATTAATTTGTGGACTTAGAACAAATGGGAGCATTTTTGTCCAGTTTTAGAGCACTCTATCCACTGACAGCCATATTCGAAGTAGCAGGCAGAAAAGTATCACAGTACCAAACATTGAGTACTTACCAACACATAATGTCGTTGACACATTAATGGAGTACTATACAGAACAGTCAACCTGAACATGTTTTGCATTTTGCTCAAACAGCTACAGTGATGCTAGGGGCATTTGACCTTTTGTAGCAGGCGAAATATTGGCTTGGAGCGGTCACTGATGCTTTTGGAGCAGATGCCAACATCTGTTAGCTCGTCACTTGAAAATTTGACGATGATTGCACTGTTAAATGAGTCGATCTTTGATAACGAGTGAGGGTTTCTCCGATATTGAAGCTTATTACCTGTTATATTTGTAGTAAAGATAGATTGGATGCAGAACAAACACACAGCCTTCTTTTTAGAAATGAAGTTCAGGCCAGAGTACCATTTACAATGGGTATATTAAAAAGACGGCTGAAAACTGAATCATGGTTTTATTTACAGGTTAAATAAAATGCTTGGCATTTTATTTAGCCTGTAAATATGATTTCTGTAAAATGCTGGTAAAAACCAGCATATCCGCTAGAATGTCCATCAACGAAAATGTTCCCCCAACTTTTATGAACCTACTTAAGATTCTAATATCATAACTGGAAAAACCACCACCCTCAAATATTGTGAAACCTACACTTAAGTTTCGAAAGTGACACTGCACTTTAGCAGCGTTGGAACCAGAGTTAAGTTCAAGTTCGCTTTGGATCGACTGCTGCACGCCAACCATTTTAACAACCGTATTTGTCAGATGCGTTAGCATTTATTGGCTTGGTGCATGCAGCATTCTTTTGTTTGGGCGATCAAGACTTGGTTTCGACTGGACCGGTTTTGTGAAGCCCGCGGCACAGTGCACGGTTCCTGCCATGCTTTTTCGCTCCGTTTGTTTGCTCATGGGAGCAGGAGAGGGGGGAACGTATTAATTAAATAATTCCTCAAAGGCCCGGGAGGAGGGGGGGGGGGTATTACATGAAGGCTGGGCACACAGCAAAAATTCCCAAAACCTGGGTGCAGAATACAAAAAGAGAACATCTCTATCAAAAAAGACAGGGAGAGCACAATTGCAAGCATGAAATTCACTATTACGAAACCATGAGTGATTCAGTACTATAAAAGCTTTTTTTTAATTTATCCAAGTCCCTAAGCTGTACTATGTTTTTCAGATCGTTCCCATCTTTAGCTGTTATAATAAAAAGAATTTCCAAATCGATCTGCGTTTGGGCGAGGGTTTGGCACTTTTTGGGAACTGCGACTTGAAAAGTGTGAACGGAGCGCAGTGCAAGGGTTCGGTGACAATGTGTGATAATGTCGATAAAACAGTGACAGTCTGGTAATCCTTAGACGGCGACTTAGCAAAGACAGGGCGGCGCGCTTCTTTAGCTGGGCGACACTGGTAAGACAAATGGTCGGAGTATATGAATCTTACAGCACGGCTTTGGATGGCTTCTAAGTTCTTGATAAGGTAGTTTTGGTATGGATCCCATATCGCTGCGGCATATTCTAGTCTAAGGCAGATGAGTGTTGTGTAGGCGACCAGTTTTCAAGTTTTTAAGGTACGCTGCAGATAACCAAGGGATTTACTTGAAGTGAAAATGATACTGTTTATGAGGATGGACCATGAAAGGTCTTTACTGACGTGCATGCCAACATATTTGTAAGACTAGCTGGTTATAAGACAGAACTACCGATGGAGTAATTATAAGTAAATGGCAGTAAAAGTTGATGTGAGCAGTGCAAGTGCCATGGCACGCTGTAAACACGGCTTGAAGGCGTGCAACAAATCTGATAATCAAGGGACCACATCAGGAGTAAAAGACCCTGGTTCTGCCATCCCGCCATTTTGCAAGTCTTTCTCAATACTTTTAGCTCCAGACATTGCCAACGTCTAGAAATTCATACGATGACGGGGCCAGCGCGGTTCAAGTGATATCCATACTTAGTTTTACGTTAAGAGGAAGTGCAGCAGACGCTACGAGCCAATAGGACAAATTAATTAGTGTCAAAAGCATGACATCATGGGATTCGTCAACTTTCTGTGCTACCTCATCGGCTAAACTAACCAAGCATAGCGAATGCCCCGCAACTTGCGCTTATAGTATCTGTGTGCGTAACTGTATGTGTTAGACCCTTGGACTGTGCTCAGACCAGAGATAAGCAAATTGTACAGACACTCAAATATATATTTGTACCATTCTCCCCTCTTCTCTTCTCTGAATGTTAGGGTCAACCAGTAACAAAATATCTACTTTTTCATTTGTCTTGGCATAAGTGTAGCAAATTTTGGCATAACTGGCAGTTTGGCACATGATGTAGCAGACTTTCGTTCATGGCACAATTTGGCACAGCACTTCCATCACTGCAGCTATAATTCCTCTAATTTTTTTGCACATTACCAGAAGACTACAACCTCTCACTGTTGAAGATGAGTCCAACTCATCCATCAGTGTAAGCTTCTATCCATGCACTATGCTACAATACATATTTTGTTTTGGAATGCATGTCGGCTGCACAAGTGAAATAAATTGTCAGAACTACAATCACGTTTCTGCAACCTCAGTTTCATGCGGAGAGCAAGTCGTCTGCTTCGTGCGCAAGAGTTGCGGTTACATCACTACGCCGCCGATCTCAGATTGGCTTTGATTGAAAGAATAGTGGGTAGACCTCGATGGATGCCTTGAGGTCTACCCACTATTTTTTTCAGTCGGCCAATGACAGCTCGGCAGTCTGACACCATCGCAACCCCTGTGCAAGAAGCAGACAAACTTGTGCTCTGCGTAGAAACTTGTTCCACAGCTACCAGACTGCACCCAAAGCTCCTATTGACAGATCAAACAGTATACAGACAAAATCTTTTTATGACAGTGACAGTCGAGCTGTTAGTGTATTGCTAAATGCATACATGCCCAACGAACACTAGTTAAGTCATCACTACAGAGAAGTACCAACAAATACTTTTGAAGTATTGTTCGAACTACCAATTGCAGCAGTCACTGTCAAACCAGTTGTATCCTCTTATCCATTCCGTGTCTAAGAGAAGACATTGGTATTGAACCTTGTGTTGTTTATGACCCTATTTAGTGCAATTTACCACAAAACGATTTCACAATTCAACTTTAATTTTTTACTTTAAGGGGGATTACCTGCTTGTCACTCTGTGGGCAAATTTCACTGCACAAACCTGCATTTCAAGAATGAACCAGAGAATTGATTATTTTTAAGGTTCATTATGAAGATGTAACGAAGGTCATACAACGATTGGATATTCCCCAGAGAGGGCAGGAGACATTTAATAAAATACATAATTATGACCATTTTGACTGCTTCGAGTTCACTTTGAGGCAATTTTGAAATTAAAATCACTTGGAGGACAAAACCAATGCTAGTACATACTAGAGGTGTCTCCTATCTTAATTTTAAGACACGGGAAGCCCAAATGTCTTCGTATTTGTGTAAATAAATTTGACAGGGCCGTTTTCGCTAATTTATTTTCTATGGGTTCAATGAGATGGCGACACCAGTACCAAATACCCGAAGACAGTGCATTTGTTGTTGTTGCTGCCGTTTTCACGAGCTTGCCCGTACGGCGACTTTCAACACCAGTCGTTTGCTCAACACCGCCGAGATCAGTTTTTGCCATTTTGCCAGAGAACGGTCTGTGTGAGATTTCTGTCTGCTGCACCACACAAACATAGTGATGCCCTGGCAATGTGCTGTCTCGCTGCTGTTGCCACGGCATCACAAACGCCAATGCACAAGCTCGTGCGACACTTGGAAGCAAATGGCGGCGGCGGCGCAGCACTAAAATGAGCAGTTTCGCAGTGGGCTCTGCAAGAACTGGTGCGGCTCTTGCCCATTGTCTCATGGTACACCTCTCGCGTGTTTACCAATCAAAGGTCGTCGGTTCTTGTAAGAAACGCCAAGCGTGAATTTTATCCAGGGACTTTAGCTCACAGCGCTGGTCTGGCTTCCCTGGCTTCTATTGGCCGCTTCACATCTCAGTCATTTACATGTGCAGAGACTTATTTCAACGCGAGAGCTCGGGCCAGATTATATTTAATCATCCACCCGTGTAGAAATGCCACGTTTTCACATTCGGTACATGCGTGAACCAAGTCTGGCGTTGACGATGATCTCGTGACAGAATTTAATCTGGTCGTCCAACAGAGCTCTTTGATTCTACGACGTTGCGTAGCTCAAGAGGCAAGGAGACTCAAGTTTGGCCGAGGTATCGCTTCACATGGCTTGCACGTAACGTCCTTGCATTATGCCGGTGTGCATTATACTTCCTTTTGCAAAAAACAAATGCTATAGTACCCATCATTGAAAGAAAACCGGAGACTGGGACAAATAAAAAGACTGACAGCACAACACAGAATTTAGAACACAGTTGAGCTTATTCGCAGGAGGATGCCAATAAATACCTGTCCACACAAAAACAGGAAGGAAGAAGGAGGAAAGGGACCTCTCTCACGGGCCTTGACAGACAGACTAGAGTACTGCATGGGCTGGAATCTCTAGGCCCGACTTGACCCCTCCCGGGGTCAAGTCAGGCCTAGACCTGGCCCGAGTCCGACAGTTTTGACATAAGCCCCAACCTAACCGGAGCCCTACAATTTTTTTTTTTAAATATGAGCCGGAGGCCGGCTTGGGCCCTACAGATTGTAAACATGAGCCCGAAAAAGTTTGCCGGTTTTAACCTAACAACTGTCCAAACATAGGGCGAGCATATTTGATAGAAATTTCTTTTAAACTTCGACAGTTTTTAGTTGCACTATAAATATTACGCAATACAGTGCACCTTCAAGGGCTGCATAAACATAAAATTATCTAAGGTGCAGCCTTTTGAAGATGCACTATAAATTACACAATATTTATAGTGTAACAAAAAACTCTGTCCAAGTTTAAATTAAATTTAAATCAAATATGCTTGCTCTATTCTATGCTTAGACAGTTTTTAGGTTAAAGCCTGCAAACTTTTTCGGGCTCATGTTAACAATCTGTCTGCCTCAAGCTGGCCCGAAGCTCATACTTAAAAAATAAAAAAAAAATAAAAAAAAAAAATTGTTGGGCTCCGGTTGGGTTTGGGCTTATGTTTAAAAATTCAGTCGGTACTCGGGCCAGGCCCGGGCAGTGTCTCTATTGGGCCGGGTCGGGTCAGGCCTAGAAATTAAATATTCCGTCGGGCTTGGGCCGGGTAGTGTCAGGCCTAGAAATTCTGGCCTGTGCAGTGCTCTAGTCTGTCTGTCTAGCTCCGTGGGGAAGGTCTTTCTTTCTTTCTTCCAGTTTTCGTGTGCACGGGTATTTATTTGCGTCCTCCTGCGATTAAATTCTGCTGCGTTTTAGATTCTGCGTCGTGCTGTCTTCTTCATTTGTCTGTCTTTCTTTCAATGATGTTATCTAACCAGCTTGCCTGCGTACTTTCCTTCCTTGCGATAGTATGCAGTTTACGCTGCAGAATGTACCAAGGCCACCAGGACAGCAGCTGGTGCGATGTCAGTGCAGGCCAGGACACCATTCAGCTTGTGCCTTCGGCTTTGCTTGCACTTATGGTAAATAGAGCCTGGAGTATAGACGCTTTAGGCATGCGCCAGATTACAGCCGCCATTGCTGGCTTCCTCTTGTCTTACCGACATACCAAACCACTGAAACGGGTGTTGACGAGCCTCTTCACAAAGGCCAAAGCTGGGAAAGACACACTAGAATCTAAAATGGAAATAACCTGACCTACTATGGTAATGATGAAGTGAAGTAATAGGGATAACAGGAAACAAAAATGCAAGGCATATGTTTGGCGGCTGCCATGCACAGTTGCCGAGATGCAAAAGTCCGTGTAATTGGCAAACACATAAAAAAAGGGGCCACTGAATAGTAGAGATGTATAACGAGGACACTACAAGCCATCAGAGTCAATCCAGCACTGAGGGGATGCGACTGTCTGGGCTTACCTTGCGATTCCCAGAGCTCTAGTTCATGTGGTGCTGAACTGGCCGTTACAGGCTGCATTTACATGAATAGGACTTCCAACCAAATGGTGGCGCTGCGCTCATGTCGAATTTGTGCCTTCGCTCAATCTCATTGTGATGACATCAAACTCTAATGCACAGGCTTTGATTGTTTTAGGTAAATTTATTCACACCCATTCTTAGACGGCAAAAAAAAAAAAATTCTGCAGCTATATGACAAAATTGATATCGCCCAAGCCAGTGTCAAGCTACGGCGCATGCCGTGCACCATTTGATTGGCACAAATGTAGCACAACTTTCCCTGGCCATGAAGCCAATGCTACAGGCACCCATGCATTGCACAGTTTTGAGCGTCGCTCAAAGCTGTACGTCCGTGCTCTTCACTTCTTCAGAAATGCCTTGCGCCCCAGCACGCTCGCTCACGTTACACGCGGGCAGTAAACGTGAAATAAAAATAAGAATTACAAAAAAGCAGGAAAAAACCATTGTTAGCATTTCAATAAGACGCTATATGTGGTAGTTTCTTTGTTTTTTTTTTTTACGCTTCATTAGCACTGGAGCACATGCTTAAAAAATGCTTATAACCTGTTTCCATGTTTAAAAAATCACACCCCAGAGACTGCTACGATTTTTTGTCATTTTGAAAAGTGAGCGAGGTTGGAGTTCACCTCGAGCGTCTGACCTGCATACACAGCTGCGAGCATGCAACTTGTTTGTTCCTAAAATTCTGCGCCATCTATGAGGAAAAGGCTGCAAATAAATTGCGGGTGAAAACAAAACATGCATGGCCGTGATGGCAGACTTCCTCTTACTGGCGATGCTTTTTTTATTCTTCCCAAGGCATTGTAGTAAAGTGTGGAAATGCATATGGTATGTAAAGCTTCAAAGATCATAGTTTGTCTTTAAAATAATTTTTGAACAAAGATGCCACCACATAGGTTCAATCAACAAAAACTAAACAATACCAAGTTTATGGCTGTCACATAAAGATAACCTTCCCCTGCCAAGCAAATTCTAAGCATGCCAGAAACAGTTTTCACAATGTGAATTCTTTTAAAACTGTTTGGCCATTAAGCTTTGTCCATACTTTTCATGAGTAGTTACAACATTGTGTATACACAGCAGTTCCACTGTTCAGCATTCATCTCTGCTAATCTTTAACCCCAACCAGCTGACAGCACATGCCGATCTTGCCTTCGAGCTGTGTAGCACACTTTACATCTAAAACATAGTTTCAGCAGTGCTGCATTTTTCCCCAACGACATGCCTCCGAGGATTTCCATTGAAACAGTCAGTTGCAGGGGAAGAAGTAATGCATGTTTATTGTTTGTGTGATACAAGTTTACATGGAACTCTCGGGGGGTGGGGAGGGGTGCCCAGATAGAAGTTATAAAATTACAGTCACCTCACGCTTCACAAGATGTACACCACGCAATGGGACGAGATCAGAAAAGAGTCGTGGGAAGCAGTACGACAAAGAATAAAAGGAAAATAAAAAAACACAACTAAATGTACCACGCGAAGTAGTGCTGCCACAATGTCATAGGGCAGCTTTATAAAATCTTAGGCTTGAAGAAAGAAAAGGAAAAAGCAAGCAACTGAAGAAGGAAAGGCAAAATGAGCGCCCTGAAAATTGCTGCATTGCTCCGCGCAAAATGGGAAGAAGCCACCAGAGAAAAGAGAGCAGCTCGTGTCGTTTTCTTCCTTTGTTTTGTTAAAAAGGCACCAGTAGACAATGTTTGCGAAAAGTGTAAATAAAGCGAGGAAGGAGCCGGCCGAAGACTTTGTGCCGCTCCGACGATTGGAGCGGTGACTGCGAGCGGCCGCGCAAGCGTTGCCTTTGCTTGTACTACGGGAGTTTATTGGTATAGTGCGACGGCGAGATTTGGCAGCCCTACACACATGGGAGACTCATACTGTTCGTGTGCCGCTTGCATTATGTACACTGATTGGCAATAAATACACAAACATGGAAGTGGCAGCAGCAGAGGCACTACAAAGACGCAGAAGCCACTCAACTAAAAAACAAAAATATGTGATACTTTTCTAAAGGCAGGGAATACCGAAAAGGAAGTAGGGAAGGCAGGGAGTCTTCAAAATGAGCGCAGATGGTATGTACACGCAAGTGCGCGTGGGTGAAAGTTGGTGTGGCGTCGACGGGCATTTGAACCACTCGCCGCGGGTCGTGCGACGCAATTCCGCGTGGACGCACCGATCGAGGGGAGGGGAAAAAAAAGTAGGAAATGCGCGGGATGGGACGTACTGTACAGATGCGTTTTAGTATGTATCCCCGCTTTCGGGAGGCGCTGATGTTTTGCTCTTGTACTGTGTTGGTCGACGTTGCTTTCTTTTGCATTGCTCTCGTAGCTTCTTTTGTGTCCCGGCCGTCAAAGGCCGGCTCGACTTTGTGTGTTCGCTGTTTGGGAAGGGGGACCAAACGCTCGCGTTGCATACGGTTGCATTTTCTGTAGAGTGTGCATTCTGCGGAGACAACGGAAGCGTGCAGACAATGCCACGAGAGAACGGTATGTACGGTATGTGTGAAGCGAACAGAAAGAAAGGAAGAAAGGAAAATATCTCGATCATGGAGTGATACGGAGGTTCGTTGGTAATTTTCCAGCCTAGCCTCTTCATTGACGAAAGGAAGTCTTTCAGATGCACACCCTCGTCCATAAAGTTATGTACAGGACACATACCACATCTTCGTTATGCACACATACACACGCACATACACACACTTCTATGCTCCTCCACACCCGAACACAATGGTTTGCAATTTGCGAGCGAGCCCTGCAAGGGAAGAAAGTGCGAGCTGCGGCTGTAACCGCGGCCCTCTCCCTGCTTCGCCGTGTCCAATGCCAATATGTCTGCCCAATAAACCTCCCCCCTCCCCCTTTTCTCCTCCTTGCAAAATGCAATTTCTCTCTTGTACTTGCAAGATGGGAATGATGGACCCTAGTATAGACAATGATTGCTCCTTTCCACGACAAAAACTGGCCGCAATCGCGGCAACCGAGTCACCCAAGAGGAATTCAAAACCATTAAAAACGAAAGTGGACACACATTAAGGAAGGTGCCTCGGCGTAGTCTTTAAAAACGTGGAGAACCCCTCCGCAAGAGGTCCACCGGGAAAACTGGCCTCAGTCGATGCCGTTTTAACCGGGCAACGATCGGCATGGGCCACGTTACGCAGCCCTAAGACACGACGCACGACCCCTCCCCGTCTCCGAAATAATAATTAGGGTAAAAACGCTGCTCTCAATGACAGAAACAGGTTCTTTGCACAGCTATGGAACAGGCACACGTTTGAAAACGGGGGTCAAACAAGATGCCGAGGGAATTGCGAACCCTTTTTAAGACCTAAGCTCGCACTGCATCGTCCGTAGGAACCCCCCCTCTCCCCAAGGAGTCAAAACAAAGGAGGGATTCGCGTGGCCTCGTGGGCGAGGAGGGACGACACAATGTCTGGGGGCGGGTCAGGGAAGGAGGGCAAGTTCTCGTGACTAGCAAGACCTCTACGAGTCTAAAACAAGGAGGACGAGACGACGGGAGAGGGGGCACACGGGTGGGCAGGCCGTGCGCCGGAAGGGCAGTGACGCACGCCGCCCTTGCGGCCAGCCAGTTGCACTCTTTACACACAAAAAAGTTGAACATCTCCTAAGAACGAAACAAACGTAGACGGTGCACTAAAACAAAACCGAGTCACGTTGCGTCCTCGCGTTTACGAGTACTCGAACGCGCGCCTCCCCTTCGTTCGATCGGGGAAGCGGCAGTCGAACGAACAACCGTCTTCGAAATGCCGTCGTGGCATCTTCTTGGTGCGACCCGACGCTTCCTCCGAACGTTGGCGGCGACGTCGGTCGTGACTACCCGTTTGCGAGAGGAACCACGACAAAACGAGCTTTCACGACGGGACGGGAGGGTCCAGCGTCCCGTCGCTTTCTCCCCGGGCAACGGGGAAGGGAGGGGCACGAGGTGAGGGGGGTGCGGGGCCTCAGTTGATGGGGGGCCGTCCTCCGCGTGCGGCCTCTTCCAGGGTCCTCAGCTTGAGCTCCCGCTCCCGCTGCTGTTGCTGGCTGCAGCGGCGCACCGAGGCACCACAGTCGCTGGACAAGTCTTGCCTTGGGACTGTGGGGCGCCATCTGCGTCGGCCACGGCGCTATTTAACGGGCGCGAGGGCTTCCGAGGGGCCAAAGAACGCCAGTCCTACGTGATCAAAGGTCAACAGCTCCCGTCATAAACGGAGAGTAGAGTTGGCCATTGTTATGGCACCCGGAATGCGACTCCGACCGGTGCGCATGGTGTCCTGCACCACTCGTGTATCGAAAGCGGTCCCAAAGTGGCAACGAATTATGTCGTGGGAGCCAGCACGTCATGCCATCGGATGTCGCGATCCTGGCAGTTACGTTCCGACAAAAAAGACCAGCAAATGTAATATCGCCGTCGTCATGGCGATCCAACTCCCGGTGGCTGGTGAACTCCCGGTGGTATCCGCAAATACTGTCGCACTGGAGAGCGACCCATGGCAGGCAACTGCAGTATCCACCTCCGCCCCTGGGACACTATCAGGATCGTGGCGGGCTATGGCGCAATGCAACCGTGACATTATCCGGCAGAAATCGAGGGACCGGAAACGACGATGCGGTAAGAACGCCGGTCGGAGATGCACTCCAGGCACCATGCTACAGGTGTAGATGGCTTGGAAAAGAGAGGACACCGTCCCACATCTCGCAGTAATCTCACGAGTTGTGCACGGTGCTTTTACCACGACCATGTTTCTTTATTCCCCAAATGTGTCAGCACTTCTTCGACTCTCTTAGAAAAAATATAATTAACTAATTTAGTGGAATGAAAATGTCCAACTTTTCAATGATGACACTCATGGCACGTCAAGCTTGTGAACAGCGACACCTTGTAAGCTCAAATAAGTTGAAGTTCATGTATCCTATCCTTGGGGCATATTAACTCCTTGCCTACTAACCACGAGCGTCACAAGTGCCACCCCCTATGAGCCATAAAGCCCGACCACGAGTGTGACTCGCATTTCGGCTTTGGTGTTTGCTCAGCGCGCTCGCTGGTAGATGGCAGAACCACCCCTGTTGCTCGATTTACCTTGGGTAGTTTGCTCATTTGTTTTGCGATCTGACACCGAGAGAATGCTCCATTTAACTGAGAAAAACAAAGTCGCTCGTGAGCGTTCCCGCTAAAACAACGTGGCCTTGGTGCGGAGTTTTGCTTTAGCCAACAAAGAGATACAAAACATTCTTTTTGAAAGGAATTAATGCTCAGGCATATGCGACAACAAATCCTTCAGCCTTTCTGATTTACAGGAATCAGACAATAGTCTGATGTGCGGAGACAGGGGTGACGAAAACGATGTGAATCCTGCAAGCATTTGATCAACTTCGGCGTCTGCTTGTCAGTGGGACTCGGACCAGAAGTCCTGGCTTTAGAGCAAGGCATGACACCCGAAAGTCGAGGCAATGCTTTTGTCTAGTTCTAATGCAAATTGCCCGCTTAACGATTTTTTTTTACTGTGCCTACCTTGAAGAAAAAAAATTGAGACGTTTACAGATCTTTATAATTCGAAATTAGAGCTCAGCTCTTGAAATATTTTGATTTTGCAATATACCGTGCTACAGAATTTGAGGAAGAAATATCTATATGTACTCCTGCATACATAATATAAATTATATATGTAAATATATAAATATGATTATTCATTATAATATTATATATATAAGGAAGAGGGGAGGGTACGGGGGCCCCCATCCTCTCCTTTTCTCTCCTCCTCCCACAGTTTCCCCGCTAAATTTAGCCAGAAAATTAAAGCCACGTCACATCACCTCAACACAATTCAGTTTCCCCACTAAATTTAGCGGAAAAAATGACATCACATGACTTTGTGTCACGTCACGTATAAACAAATTCAGTTTCTCCGCTAGACTTAGCAGGAAAATTGATGTCACAGGACCTCCACACCAAATCAATTCCCCGCTAAATTTAGCGGGGAAACTGAATTGGTGTTGAGGTCATGTGATGTCAGTTTTATCGGTGAATTTAGAGGCAAAACTGAATGCGCGGTGTCACATTATGGGATGTCACAGACCTACACACCAATTCAGTTTCTTCGCTAAATTTAGTGAGGGAACTGAATTGGTGTATAATTCTGTGATGTCCCATAATGCATCGCACGCGGTTATGCCGCAGGCAACGGCGATGCCGCGAAACACGGGAACGACCGCCTAGAAGCTGCGCCTTAAAATGATAAAATGAGTAATGAGTAGGCAAGGGGTTAATTAACATTGCTGTACAGAGAGATGTTACGTGCAGAAGCCCCGAATCCATGTCAAATTAAACATGCCATCCGACTGTTCCAGAAAAAGGATTTCCAACAATTCCAGACTGGAAAGCACCTGGCTTTCCACCTTCTCAACAGCATGGACGCTTACCCGTAGCCCCGGGGGACATCTTTTTAGCGCAGGAGCGCGTGCAAACGATTTGCTCTGCAAAGCTGCACTCTTGTGTCTGCATGTTTGCTGGCATCTTACACAATGTGTCAGTTGATGTACTGCTAGTTGCCTTTTATGAGTTGGCCATGCACAAATATTCAAAGAGTGTGCAATGCTCAAGTACCACTGAAGGGCTCTTGAATAAGACAATCCCTGCCATTCAAAATCTGTAAATACCTATAAAAGATCTAAATATAAACCAAGGGGGGCAATGTTGGCCATGGCAGTGGCTCATTTGCACGCCCAAACGCTCTTACAAAGTTGGATCTGCAGGAATACCTCACATTACCCCCAGTCTGGGTCACATCAGTATTACTATATATACAGTTGAACCTTGATTTAACGAAACCCGATTTTACGAATTTCCCAATTTAATGAAGAAATTTGCATTCCCCGCGGAGCCTATGGGCGAGGTCTCCCTTTCTCGATTTTACGAAGTTCCCGATTTAACAAAGAAATTAGCGGGTCCCGGTGACTTTGTTAAATCGAGGTTCAACTGTACAGGGTGTTTCACGAAAGGTGGACAAATTTGACGTTGTGAAAACTATGCATTGCACCAAAAAAAGGCTTGTGTCGTTTTAGTCCTAGGCCAGGGGCCTATTTAGGGAAATGATTAAAGTTTGGGATACTTAGGTTGTTAATTATTTTTGCATAATTAACTTTTTTAGTATTGTGTTTAAAGGCCGACGACCAGACTCGAGATTCTGCAAGGCAGAAGATCCTCCTCATCATCGGGGAGGAGGAAACAGGCAACGGTGGACAGGGTAGAAGGGGGAGAGGAGGAAGTGAGGGAAAAAGTGGAAAGCGCGAAATGGTCGTCGGTTTTTAAGGGCATGGTTTCAATTACAAAATTGCTCAGCATCATCGAAAAACACTAAATAAAAAAATTGCAAAATGATAGAAGGCACGTGCGGTATTTTACGGCTTTCTGAAAAACCGCACAACTTCGACAGGTTTCTAAGTTTCGGTTTGCAATCGGAGCGCTTCTCGGCACCGATGGCGCCGCACCCCTTGGAGAAATGATGCAACCAGCCTCTGCTGCCTTGCGCGAGGACAGCGCAGCAGAAGGTAAATGCACTATTTCTCCTCGGGGTGCAGTGCCGTCCGTGCCGAGAAGCACTCCGATTGCAAACCGAAATTTAAAAACCTGTCGAAGTTGTGCGTTTTTACAGAGAGCTGTAAAATACCGCGCATGCCTTCCATCATTCTGCAATTTGTTGATTTAGTGTTTTTCGATGATGCTGAGCAAGATTATAATTGAAACTATGCCCTTCAACTCAATATTAAAAAAATAATGAAAATAATTACCAACCAAATTATCCCAAACTTTAATAATTTTCCTAAATAGGCCCCTGGCCTAGGACCAAAACGACACAAGCCTTTTTTTGGTGCGACGCATAGTTTTCGCAATATCGAATTGGTCCACCTTTCGTGAAACACCCTGTATATATACTATAAAAATATAAATATATATATATATATAAATAAATTGGATGTTTAATACATGCTAAAGCAACTCAGGACATCGGGAAGCCCCAGCAGAGGATTGAGGATTAATTTCAACCACCCGGGGATGTTTTGACGTGCAACTGAAATGTCGTCTACACGGTGCCCTCTCCGTTGCGTTGGATTGCAGGCACCTTGGCCCCAAGACCCGTGGGCCGGCGCCTTGCCTCGGTGCCACCGATACTTCAAGCCAACCAAGCGTTTGAGTGGCAAAGCAATCGAAGCGAACACTTCCCAGCCATTTGAACCAATTTTCCTTTGCTGTGGCATCGGGATGCGAACAGGCGAGCATTTCTAGCCGGTCGACACCAAGACCGAGAGAGTCAACCGCCGAACATTCGCCCCATTTCCACTCCGTAAGACTGCGGGCTCGGCAAGGACAAGCCGTCCCAGGTCCTTTCACAACGTTGATCGCCATTGCCTGCAGGACGAAAACGGCAGGGAGAGGCTCCGGTCGTCCCGCCTCAGACACAAGCTTTCCACCTTCGGTAATGACTCGGCACCTGGTGCACAGGCAAAGTACGGCGGAAGCCACAGAGTGCGTGTGTTGGAGGCCGAGCATCCCAAATATGCGCCCTACCGTTCTGTCAGCGACTCTAGCAGTGACGCTACCTTAGACTTGACGGGAACGTGTTGGACCGTTCGCTTCATTCTTGTAGGAACAGGAGAAAGTGTGCTGCTTAACTGTCTACAATTTTTGACAAAAAAATAAAAATATAAATTATACGAGCTTGATGATGCCAACAAATACGGGAAGAGAGGAATATGTCCCACATAAACCAGACTTTGTGCATCCTTTCTGCTACAGTTTTCACATTTTTATTGTCTTTTTATTTATTTGTTTATTTAGTTTTGTTTATTCGTAAATTTTATCATTTTCATTCAAAACGTGCCACTCTTGCCTGCACGTTATCGTGCAAATAAACATCATTTACTCTTCCAGAGAAGCTGCGCTACGCGGCTCAATGTCTCGTGTCCGACTGCCACCGCGCCAACCCGGGTTTGAGTCCCGCCTGGCGCGTCTTTCTTACATAGATTTCACGGGATCCCCGGCAAACTATACATATTGCCCCGATGTCGTGTAGCACTGCCAGCGCTTTGCTCGTTCGTGACGCCCCTCCATGCTGATCGTTCCCGATGCTCGTTTGCAACAATTTTGGGTAGAAAACAACTCGTGAAATACGTTGCACAATAAAAAAAGTGAGAGCCTCACCGTAGAAACTCCTCGTGCTGGGGCAGGAGCTGGGCGGCCGTGGCAGCCCCCTGGTGGGAGGCGGCCGCGTGGGCTGCCCCGAGGGCGCTCAGGTGAGCCAACCGCTCCCGCTCCAGCAGGAACTGGCGCTGCAGTTGCTCCTGCTGCTGGGCCGCCACCTGGGCCGCATTGATCTGCGCACGCCACGGGACACGTGCAGAGCCCCGCAGGAGCCCCGTTGCCTCGCAGCGAGGGGGACCCCGAAATTGTTCACGCCCTCCTCGTCGTGTGGGCCGAATTCGTCGGATCTCTCGCTAGGACGCCGCTAAGGGCTGGAAACGCCCAAAGAAATCGCCTCCCGAGAACTGAGCAGACGTGGCCCCGCAGTTTTTGATGCGGAACACGTTTAGTGGAAGTGGAGTTGGCATTTGCGTAGCCGTGCCGTCGTGTCGCCGAACCGTGCCAAGCTAAATTTAGGACGCCCCCTACGGGTCACGTGGTCGCGTGTCCGATGCCACTACGGGTCACATGGTCACGTGACCGTGGGGCGACACGCCGGGTCGCTCCAAGCCGTGTGGTGCGGCGTCAACGATGTTATTTTGTCTGCTAATATTTTGTGTCGAGTTGTGGTGTAACGCGACACGACACCATGAGTTGATGGCGTGGCATCACGCTGCCCAGATTTGCATATACTCGGGTGTTCGGGCAAAGACTTTAGAAAATCCCTAAAAATAGGGTGGTTAAGAAAATAATAAAATCCTTATGGGAACAAAGTGCCAGTCACGGCGAACACCGGGTATCGCAAAATATGTGCTAATTAACTAATAATATATTAAAATTTACTAGCAAACGTTTTTGATTAGTGAAGATAAATGTATGATTTCAATTAGAAGCCTGCCGAGCATCGCCGAAAACCACTAAATCAACTCGTTTTAGAAAGATATAAGGCAGGTGCTGCATTTTATGCCATGTTTCTATGTTTCGGTTTCCTATCGGGGCCATCTTTGCCCTGGCGGTGCTGCTTCCTGCTGACCGAGGTGCGCAACGCACATGTGCCATGTTTCCTTGCATCCTACGAGGGAGCCAAGGTGGCCGCTTTGCACCTTGTCTGTCAAATGACACATGAGGTGCAGGACAGCTGGCACAAAAATGCTCTCCGACAGAAAACTAAAAACACAGAAACGCGTTCAAATCTAGCGTTTCTTTGAATTGCCTTGAAACATTGCACCTGTGTTATATCTTTCTAGAATGAGTTAATTTAGCGGTTTTCAACGAGCTCAAGAAGGTTCTAATTGGACTTACTATTTAAAGATTAGTAGACTTTAGTTAATTATTCACCATATTTACTCCAATCTAACGAGTTGCTTTTCCAAATACTTCTTGTTACCAGATGTTTCCTCTTGCGTGATAATCGAGTGACCGCAAAATTGGCCTCAATGGTGCCACCATTTTGTTATAACTGCAATTTTCAGAGTTTGAATGGATTTTCAACCTCATGCTGGCAGCATATACCTATATGGCAGCTTAAAATAAAATCTATGGAATCCAGATCCATCAGAAGATTGTAAAACCTGTCATTCTTTCTTCTAATCATTCTGGCGGATTTGTTCCACCTTGTTTTTTGCCTTTCGCGCTTCCGCGACGTCCTGATATTTAGTGCTTCTGCAGCGTCAGACATTTTTGCACCAAATCAATGGCAGTGCAACATGTGCAGCACAATGCCAGATTCAAGAATGAGGCAATTTTGATGGCCATAGTTGGGAAACTCCACCGCAACTCGGCAACTAGACGTAAACGAATCCACAAATCGCAGAGAGGGGCTCCAGAGGAATGTGCTTTTCAAATGTGAACGAAACTGGAAAGTCTTCCGTGAACTTCGTAGTGGCCATCACAGGGAATCGGCAAAAACATTTCCGAGAGAGGACTGGGTCTCAATGCCTTCAGAAATAATCAAGCGACCGTACGCATCAAAAATCGCTCAATGGGTGCATGCTGCGTGGTACGGCCTCCCACATGGCATGGTTGTTTGTGCGTTTAAAAAGTGTTTGACATTGAATGACCTCAACAATGCGAAGACAAGACATTGTCTGGGAAGAAGAAAGCAAGAAAAACTCCACCTCCGAAGACGACGACAAGTGACGAGGAAATCATTACCTCAAAACTGGCCAGTATTGGTCACCATCTCTTTAAGAGGAAGGTGCTCGTTTATTCCTCCGTCGGTCTCGCATTAGAATCACCATTTTATTTTGGAGCGCGGCTCTTAGGCGCTTGTTTCCGAATTGATCGGTGTCGCTGTCGGCATAACTGCATGCTAAATTAGGGGATGTTTCCCATAATGACGTTACACGTGACGTCACGGTGGTCACAAGTGACGTCATGAGGGGGGAGGGAGGAAGGAGGAGGGCGGGGGAAGAGGAGGAGGGAAGGGTACCCTCCTCCTCCTGAAATGCTGCGCTGATTCGGCATTACAGGGATTGTAACGGGGCGTAATGGAAAGTTGCCCCTCACATTACAATCGTGGTCGCGCTAGAATCGAGTAAATACAGCAGCTAATTCGTACGTCTTTTGCAGTGATTGACGTCCAATTTTCGCTGAAACACTTGGTACTATGTTGGCAATGCATTATGCATTGGCAATGCATCAAATAGATGAAAGGAGTGCCTTAATTTTTTTTATCCTCACATTGTATAGAGCAGTGGTTTTCAACCATTGATGTTTTGCGGACCCCTTGTAGATCGGCGGAGATGATGGACGACCACGTTTGAGGTGAGAGGGGAGAAAAAATATAGGTTAAATATAATAATGATTCCATAAATGGATATAACTAAGGGCCAGTGTGAAGTACCATATTCATTTGAATATAAATCTACCTTTTCTTTTCGGAGATGTAGTCAAAAATTAAGGGTTGACATAATTGTAACCAAAGGATTTCGACCAACATTCGCAACCAAATTTTGCGACCCTACCGGGGGCATACAGCATTCACTGAGCCATGGTCACAGTAGAGCCGTGCCGCTTCTTGTTTCAAAAAGCTTTTGGTGCATGAAAACAACCAAAACAGCAGCAGTTGACGGCCAGCCTGCGGTGGCCGCACCTCGCGCACATCCCTCGGGCGTCGGGTTTCGCCATTGCGCCTGCAGCGTTCCCCTCGCTGGGCAAGGGGAGGGAGAGGAACGCGATGCACCATGCACTTTGCCCTCCAACTCTCTCCCTCGCAAAGGCGCACACAAAAAAAAAAAAAAGAAAAAAGAAAAGAAAATAGAGGTTATTTTTCTTGTTGCTTCAGGCAGCTCGCGCGTTGCTCACGGGGACTCGCGGAGTTGCTAGCGTCTTTGTATTTGGTCTTTCGTCGATTCGCCCGTCTCTACCTTCTTTCGTTTCTTCTTGTCGCGGCGTTGCTAGCGTTTTTGTATTTGGTCTTTCTTGGTCTAACGTTGCTTTGCCTGTCCCCACCTTCTTTCGTTTCTTCTTCTTGTTATTTTACAACGGTGTCAGTGCGAACTTGCTAGGATGTCTACCAAGCTGACGAAGCTTCGGACGACGATGACATGTCCGGAAGTTCTGACGATGATTAAGTTTTTGGCGTCACCCTCTGATTTAGCTGACAGTGCTGTAAATAAAAATTTGTTTCTTTCTTTTGCCCAAACTTCCCTGTTCTCTCAAAAAAAAAAAATTGACATATATTTGATTTTTTTTTTTTTTTTTTTAAATTCTCGGTGGGTTTAATAAATAGGAGTCGACCTATTTTCGTGGTTGGCCTATTTTCGGGTAAATACGGTAGATTTCCCTTATTGATATACACACGAGAAAACTTGCCCGAAAAGTGAAACATTTCTTCTCGACCTGAAAAAAGACAACTTTTATTGCCGGGCTTGACTGATGAAGCAGGGCTTTGCGGGCCCCTAGACAGCTTTCGCGGACCCCCATTTGAGAACCACTGGTGTAGGGCACTGCACTCTTATAGAATGTCACCGGCTTGGATGTGATGCAAGTAAGTAAAATTTGGAGCAGTACACCACTCCTTCCAATCAGGCGCCTTCAGGGTGTCCCGTCTTGTCGAAGCACAACGTCCAATAGAATCCGAAGAGGAATAGCTTGCAGACAAAGAGCTCACCCGCAAGAAAAAGAAACTACGAGACCAGCATATCTCCAAAGTCGCAAGTGCGACAGTGAGAAGAAGCTGAGCAATGACGACGAGTACAGTCAAAACGTACACTATATTTTCCCAATTCTCGTCCCCTTTTCATTTCTGCTATGCTCTCGAGTGCGGTAACTTTACATTTGCCTAATAGTAATAATTTTTTCTTTCTTTTTAGGGGCTTCAAAATTTACTTTCGCATTATATTCGTGCAAATACAGTATGCAGAAGCTCGAAAACCAGAACAAATGTGTCGATGTACTGGCTATCATTTGTCTAACAGTCCAATATGGCTGTTGAAACAAAAACCGACAAAAACTAAACATAATTGTGTTATATTTCAGCGACGAGGTCAAGGGCAACACGCATAACAAGAGGCGGATATGCTTTGCCAGGCGAAATCCCACTATGCTTGACAGCCTCAAGTACTAGTTCATTAGCTCCTCATTAATGAAGGATATGTCCTAGTGGTCTCCAAAACCGTCCTTGGCTGGCAAGTCGAAAAAAAAAAAAGTAACAACTGTCCTCGGCTGGCAGGCAGGAAGAAAAAAATAAAACGGGCAAAATTGTTTGCACGTGCCCCACCTGCAAATGCGCAAGTGCTTGCGGGTCCAAATTTTTGATAGCGACGAGTCTAGATTGAACAGTTTCCCAGAAGACGGCGGAATAATTTCGGAGTCCCCTAACTCATACCGCCTCGACGACACGAGCCCAGTCTGCGCCAGCTCGACGAAAAGCGTGCGTGACAAGAACCCAGCCAGAAACCGTCGCCGCGACGAGAGCCAACGGCGGGCACGCCGGTCATCCAGTCAACCCACCGCCGAGTCGGCGTAAACTGGCAACACTTACCAGATAACCCGGCCGTGGTGCCGAATTTTCAACGTCACTCAAAAACGCAAATGCGGGGACGGATTGGACGTGAGCGCTGCATCACCATTCGGCTCAGACCGATCAAACTGGAACTGGAGCGTTGACTATAGAGGGTTTTGGCTCTATAGGCGACGTTGAAAATTTGGCACGGCGACCCGATTACCTAGGTGCCGAAACTGGCCCCCAGTGGGGTGCACGAGGGAAAAAAAAAGCGGAGAGAGAGGGGCACCCTGACCTGGTGGGCGAGCTGCTCCTCGTAGGATGAGCGCATGAGGGCGGCAGCGGCTGGGTGCATCAGGTCCTGGGGCCTGAGTCCCGCCGGGTGGGTGGGGGGGGCCTGGGGAGGCCCCCCAGGGTGGGGCCCCCCCACGCCCGGGCGGGGCCCTTGCGCCCCCCCGGGCCCCCCCCCCAGGAGGGTAGGCCTGGTACTGCTGGGAGGGGTCCCCGCCGGGGCCCCCCGGGGGCATCGCCATGGCCACGGCTGCTGAGAGCGGGTCGTGAGGATGCAGGTGCAGATGTGTGTGGGCGTGCGCATGCGTGTGGGCGTGCAGCTCACCTGCCATCTGCAACCTGCAACAGATACGCGCACGTGGGGGTCACTCCCCGTGCCGCCACGAGAGGGGAAAGGCGACGGACATAGTGGCAGGCGCGAAAAAGCTGACAAATTCCGTATAGACCGACACGCTGTTTACAAACAAGCCCGCGTTTGCCCACACCAGGTGTGGGCACTGCGCATGCGCAGAAACCGAATTCGAGTGGACTGAAGCTGCTGCGCATGCGCAGTGCCGTCGACAGCGCCACCGCAGCTGCGTGACGTCAGGGACGCGTGTTGGTCTATACGGCCGTGTCTGGTTAATGTAAACACCTCCATTCACCCCCAAGAATGGACTGCAATGTGGGTCGTCCATCGTAACAAGACAAAAATGTATTTACCCAGATTGTCCCCAGAGGTTTTGTCTATGTAGTGGGGCGCCCATATAAACGAGACACGACTGCAGAAGGTTCTTGCATTCATGTCAGCCTTGTCAATACAGTCGCCGACCAATTTTCCGGACGCTGATAATTCGGACTTGTTCGATATTTCCGACCTAAAGAAGGAATTATGACCAACGCGGTAGAAATAGTGCATATTCATGACTGATGTTTCAGACAGCTTGAAGTCCGAAAGTTCAATTTTTCTGACAAAATCGTTGCGAGCGTTCAGCGGGAAACACCATCAAGAGGCCATTTTGGATTCTATGTTGGCTGCACATGGATTGGCTTGGTTTGGCAGCACTACCTGAGTACTGCTAGGTCTTACCGCTAGGTGATGCTGTACAGCTTTTTTTTTTCTCTAGCTGCGAGTCATTATCGTCATCATTGTTACCAATTTGCTTTGTTCATTCACCATTGCAGTCATGACTCGCACCTCACATCTCGATCTCGTCTCGGTGAATTGTGTTTTCGGACTATGCTGGCTTGGATGGTCTGCCCCATTTGTTCTTCTGCCGCCGCGATGTGTTGCTAAGAAGCACAAAAAGTACTCGACCATAACGCTAGAAAAGAAGGCAGCGATTCTCAAGCTAATGGAAAGTTGCTGAATGCAAATGGAGGCGTAACCTGAAACAAGGCGCGCAGGCATTACCTGAAGCAAGGAACTACATTAGGCTTTTTGCCTGCTTAGACGTAATAAAGGCAAGCTTTTTAATCTGCAGAGTTTCCGGACTGCTCCATTATTCTGACGTTTTCTCGATCCCTACAAAGTCCGAAAAATTGGTCGGCGAGTGCGCACAAAAAGAAATGAGTATGTCAAGCTATAGACCCTTTCTCTAAGGCAATAACATTGTTTTGCCGTCGCCATGTAGTAGAAGACGTTTAGGATATAAGCGTAACTGTCACACATTATCGTCTTGCCTCCCCCTTATTTTTTTACTGGTTACAGGTTGAAACGTTTTAGTATTTTTTCGTCGCCCATACCGGATACGCCTATTACGTGGCTGAGGACAAGAGTACACAAAGAGGGTCTATAAACACTCTTAATGCTACATCCTTTCCAGGGCCTTTAGAGACAAGTAAACGAGTAAATATATAAATATAGTGGCTGTTGCACCATGGAGGCCTGACGCTTGAGCAAATTCAAATGCCCAGAGTTGCAAACATGGGACATCTAGGAACCTTCGAAAAACACCCCCAAATGTGAAGAAAAATAAACTGTAAAAACACCCTAGCTACGAGTGGCACCCCAAGAACTCCCCGAGAAGGAAGAGAAGGGGGACACACCTCAGGAGGGGGTCAGCAGCGAGGGCGAGGCGTTCGGCCGACCCCGGGTGTAGCCGCTCGTCGGGGGCACCCATCTGGGCCAGGCGCTCCCTCTGGTCGGGCCCAGCTTGGTACAGTGAGAAGGGGGACATGCCGGGGGGTCCCAGGCCGGCCGCGTTGAGCCCCGCCGCTGCCGCATACCGCCGCTGCAGCTCCAGCCAGTGGGGGTCGTAGGCCGCCGGCAGGCGTGACTTCAGCTCCAGCTCCGCCTTCAACTTGTCGTGCAGCTCACGTTTCTCCATCTCCAGGTCCAGCCGCATGCTGCTGTGGAGTGCGGCGCCCCACTCAGAGCCGCAAGGGGGGGCCCGCCGCGGGAGTGTGCCCCCGCCCAAGGGCGGATTTAAGGGGGACGGAGGGGGGGCAATTGTCCCCCCAATCCCAAAACGTCCAATGGCAACTTCTTCTTTTAGGAAATGTTTAGTTTTTGGTGAAATGGCAAATGTTAGGTCAACAAAATAGATCTGGGCAACGCTTTGCCCGCGACGTAATGTCCGTCCGTGACGTCGGACATCTCTGCAAGTCGCTCCACCCCATGCCCGAGCCGTAAGTCTGCCCCCGCCCCCGCCCACCCGCCGAGACGCCGGCCCTGCTCTCAAACCATGCTAGCAAAAACCCGGAGCGCGCATGGTTACCAACGGGGCGAGAACGGCAGGGAAGAGCTCCGGTCGTCTGGCCTCCAGCGTGAGCTCCCGCCCTTCGACGACCCCTTGACATCTCCTGCATCTCGAGAGCCCGCGCGCACAGCCAAAGCGCAGTGGAAGGCAGAACGCACGTGCTGGAGGCCGGGCATTCGGAAGACTCACCCCGCTGGTTTCGTTCTGTCGGTGACTATGTGAGCAGCTGCCCAAACCTTCTCTACCTTTCTTACGCGTAAGTAGTGCTCCACCGAGCTTGGAGCGATTCGATCCCTCAAACATTATTTATACACTACCTTCGCTTTGCGCACGTATAAAACAACCACCTAAATCTTCTCTAGACGATAATCCGGCACTGTCGGGACGGGGAGGCCGATCCGTCCTGTTGCTAGCGTCGAACTTTAACATTGGGTGGCACATTTCAATCTGGGTTCACACAGTGTTTTCAATATCTCGGAAACCAGGGACACCCCTCTGTTTGTCCCTGGTCTCGAGTTTCCAAGATGTTGAAATTACACCAGCTTGCCTGTATATTCTCCTTTATTTCTATCTTACACCGTATGTGCAGTGGGATATACCGAGCGTTTTTTGGAAGTGCGGGCGAAATCGCTCCTGCGAAAACTATGCGTCAGTGGTTTCGGCCGAAGAGCCCAAAAAACTGTTTGCGTTCGGCATAACTCAGTAATTAATTAATTTTATATAATTAAGTTTTTAATTATTAACTTTAAAGGTACAGTTTCAAGTATACACTTGATGCAAATCATCCAAAATTACTAAATCCACCCATATTACAAGGATACGATGTGTGGCAGCATTTAGGGCGCTCCGAAAAATTGCCAATTTTGGACGCGTTTCAAGTTTAGGTTTTTTTATCCGAGTGTATCTCTGCACCCGCAAACCTGCCTTCCCATGGCCCAAACACGCAATGTGCGTGCACCGCCACGCATGGCACATAAAGATGAGTCTCCATGCTGGTACCGACGTCACAAACCTGGTCCGGAGTCTGTAGGCTTTCTTACCTAGCCTCTTCTACACGGGATGCGTGCCAGTGCATGTACCTTGCGTGTTTTGGGCACGGAAAGCGGGATCACTGGTGCGGAGATGCGCTCCTATCAAACCCTAGGAATGCGTTTAAATTAAGCATTTTCTTTGGAACGCCGTAAAATTTTGTGCGTGCCTGATGCCATTGCAACGTGGGTGGATTTAGTAGTTCTCTATGATTCCCAGAGTTTCTCATTAAAACAGTGCTTTTGAAATTATTAAAATTTAATGAATGAAAAGTGAATAATTACTCACTTGTAGTGAACACTAATCATTTCCCTTAATGGGTCCTTTGGCACGAACCCCTACGACATCAACCTTTTTCCTCTGCAACGCATAGTTTTCGCAGGAGCCGATTTGACCAGAGTTTTCAAAAACGCCCCATATATGGGTGCAGACGTGCAGTGCGGCAAATGCTGCGAAACGATTGACTGGATAAAATCCCATTGGTGCACATTCTGGTAGTCTATTCCAGCGGCGTCTCTGCCGGCCGGACAATGCAACCAAGCAAAAAAAAAAAAAAACAAAAAAAAACACACACACAAGAAAACATTGCATTGCTACGGCACTTTGGCAGACGAGCTTTTCGCTCGGCACATTCGCTCCGACCTCGACGAACACAGACTCGAATGTTGCGCTCGAGATTTGTCCGCTTCGACACGTTCGTAAAACCGCTCTTGCCGCCTAAGCTGCGCCTAAGCAACTTGCGTGGCACAAGTGGCAAGTTCTATGTGACGCAGCACATCCGGAAAATGACCTTGAAGAAGAGTGAGCCGTCCGTAAAGAATCGTATTAAACCTAACTCGCGACAGACAACCGCTAGCCAATTGTCGAAGAGTCTTCCAGTGGTACCGCTTGCAACCGAGGCGAGGAAAGCACTTCATCTGGCTGCTGCGACGTGCGCAGCGTTAGCACGCGGCGTCTACATTTATACGCATCTTACATTGTGGACGAATGTCACAAGCTACCTTGGTATGGTCATCATAGAGGCCTCGAAGCTTCGATTCAGCAACAAGGCAGGGCACAATAAGCGGCGACGTAAAGATATACAATGGAGGCTGCCGTCGTAAAAAAAAACCCCAACTCTGCCACCGAGAGAGAGAGAGTACGTACTTCTCCCGCGAGGCGGCAGCCGCCGCGGCGTACATGCCAAGCTGGTAGTGCAGCATCATGGGATCCATGGCTGCCGCGGCAGCCGCTGCAGCAGCTGCAGGGTGGGCCCTCGCCCCGGGGTAGCCCCCGGGCGAGAAGGCCGCGTGGGGGCGGGCGTACTCGCTCAGCTGCCGCAGGGCGGGGGTGTCCGCCCCTCCGTACGGGTGCTGCGCCGACGGGGCGTTGCGGGGGTTCTGCGCGGGGAACATCGAGGCACCCACTGTGAAGCTGCCACACCGGGTTCCTCGTGGTGCCCTCTCACGGTAACAATACAGACAGAGTCGGTTCGAAAGGATGTGCGGGAAAATTTGAAATCCCGGAAAGTAGATTTTCCCTCGAAGTAACAGTAGCAAAGATGAAAAGACGCGGAGGCTTTGGGCCCACAACGTTACCCGAGTCAAGAGCTACGAGGAATTTTGAAAGATTTCAGTGAGAAGATGCCACCCATTGTTAAGAGCAGGTGCTACTACTCATCCACTTATATTTGTAGATGGGTTATTTCCCTCATGAATTACACTTAATCGTAACTTTTAGTGGATGCAGAAGCTCCCATTTTATTGAAACTTCAGCGTGTTATCACCACTGCTTGATGCATTACTTCAGGTTAGCAGTCTTACTGCAACGGCCAAATTGCCCGTCTACAGCAAAGACACCAGGTGCGATTTCAGGCCACACTCACTTCCCGACGCCCAAATTTTTGACACTTTGATATGCATCTCATCGCCACCACCATTCATTATCTTCAAAAAATGGGGGTTTGTGCTCTGCAATGGGCAATTCATTTCTGCAATGAAAAAGGATGACCATAACATAGATTAGAATTCCTGAATGTTCCTAGAGACCGAATTCCATTCAGTCCACTTACCGAAAGTCAACCCCGCAGAATCCAGTTTTGATTGACTGATTTAGCCCGTGGCGGAAGTAACCAGTCGACCATTTTGTGGATCGACCCAAAACGACAAAAACATATATAAAACGTTTCCGCATTACCATGGTGGGAGCTCTGGGCATCGATAAGTTAGTACCAAACGGAAGGTGCATTGATTTTCTCTAGTGATTTTTTTATATCATATGGCCACTAATCTGGTCCGCTAGAGGATATTGCCGGCTAATTTGCTCGCTCCGGTTGCACTCGTGCTGAGTTTCGAACTCCACGCCTCACATGCTAAGCCTAACACTCAACTTCAATGCGTTTCGAGGCGAGAGAGCGAGATGAGGCAGAGAGGAGGAAGTCACGCACCGCTCGGAGCGAAGGAAAGAGCTCTATAAATAAACAAATCAGTGTCGCCACAGGCCAAGGACGTGGACTGAAGAGCTCGCACGAGAACAAATGCCACGCTGTACACGCTCCGTTTCGACTGCACAGGGCAGCACCATATTGGGGATCGCTACTGCTGCTCCGCAACTCCGTTTTGAAATGAAGCTTGGGAGTTTCAACACTCTGGGAACACTCAGTAACTCTAATGTAGGCTATGTCTTCACTGCAAGCTTATTGGGTCAGGTGACATGGTCACCTCTTGTGCCATCTGAACACTATTCTTCTAAGTTGAGCACAATTGACTGTGCCATTTCAGCTTCAGCCATTTTGACGCACATTTTGTTTTACAATACATGACGGCATCCACAGCACCCCATTCTAAGTCTCATACTGACCGCTTTGCTTTACATCGCACAAATAGTAGACAAACCAAAAATAATTGGCAAGGCTACAAAAAAAAAAGAAAAGGGCAAGTTTGGCATCGATTTTGCACTATTAGTTTGAAAAAGAGGCAACAAGAAAGCATGGAAATAGGAGAAAAACCATGGTTTGTGCCCGTCATACGACATGCGGGGAAAAGCAAGCTTCATTCGTGCTCTCTCACGTTCCCTGTCCCAGGTCCGGATGTCTCCCATTTGAGATTTCGTGGCACCCACCTGGGGAACCCCCCGTGACTGGTAAGGTCCTCCAGGGAAATCGCAGGGGTGGCTGCTCGAGCCCGCCTTGCCCTCCCCGGAAAGGCCGCCCCGGTGGTCGAGGGAGCTCAGCCGCTGCTGCGCACATGCGAGACAAAAAATGATTCGTCACCCTCCGCCGGCAGTCCGTTGGGCGACTCCTAGGGGAAAAAGGGAAGTCCCACCTTGGCCTCCTCCCTCTCCTTCTCGGCTGCCTTGCGTGCCCTCTCCTCCCTTTTCCTCGCCAGCTTCGAATCGGGGACGGGTTTGAACGTCAAGTCCGTCCGAGCACAAGAGTTGAATTCCCCTCGACTCCAGTGACGCAGAAAGCTGCAAGCAACGGGGAAGGCCGTTTAAAGACAACTTCACTCCTTGAACCGCAAGACCCCAGTTCTTGTATAATAGACCTTTTGCCACATTACCCAAGCATTAAGGAGAATGCTGGGAACGTAGGTACTCAAGCCGCAACCACTCACCTTATCGCTATAAAAGATTTTAAGTAAATAACTGAAATTAGGTATTGACAAATGCACACTCAAACTGGTATTTGTTCTTCTTGCTTTTCAACAGCTACTGCTGCAGATGCCAGCATGAGCTTAGTGTTTAACTGCACTCGCAGTCACACGCCGTCCCAAAACACAGCTACTGATTTTGCTTCACTTCACAAATTTTATACAATCGTCTAACCTCCCCGCAACAAGGTAATAATAAAAAAAAAATCCCACTGCAATGAGGCAATGAATTTTTTTTCTTGTGTTCCCCGTTAGCTTGTTGCGAGGAGGTTGCCATCCTCATAAGGGTAGACGATGTGAAATAAAATCAGTAGCTGTCTTATAAGATGGCACATGTGCTTGTCTTGATTATTTATATGTTCCCAGTAAGACAGTGCGAGGGGGAAAAAGGGTGTGCACGAGAAAAGCCAGGGTGGAAAGAGGGTCACTCCTCTTCACCTCAACTTTCCTGGTTTCTGTCCTTTTCCCCCTCGCACTGTCTTTTTTATGTTGTATCCGACTATAGTGCCCCTTCCTGTAAAAAATACTCGTGAGTGAACGCAACACCTGACTACAGCAGAGGCACTGCTCTCCTACTCCCCGTCGTTCCCCACAAATGCATGCCAACTGCGGCAAGGCGCGCTCTCTCACTCACTCGCTGCATTGTATTTGCTGTATCAAACAGCCATAATATACAAACAGCCAGCTGAACTGGAAGAAAAGAAAAAAAAAAGGTGCACAGGAATGGGAAGAGAGACGCACATGGCGGACTGGCTGCGGTGGCATTCGCTGTCTTCAACCTTGGGCTCTGGGCTGGGTCCCCTCACCAGCTGCTGGGCCTCGGGCTCCTCCTCCTCCTCCTCCCCCGGGTGGTGGTGGTGGGAAGGAGGGCCCCCGTGGTGGGAGGGGTGGGCCCCTCCGTGGTGGGAGGGAGGGGGGTGGTGGGAGGGCCCCAGCCGATGGGGGGAGCCCTCCAGGGGCAGCTGCGGGGGAAGGGGCATGGACACCGGGGCCCGGGAGGGGGGCGGGGCCTTGGAGCTGGACCCGCCTGACGACGACGGGTGGTGCTGGGGGGGGCCCTGGTGGGCCGGGGGAGGTGGTGGGGCAAACTGGGGAGGGAAGTGCAGGTGGGGGGAGTACAGCTGCGGGCTGAAGTAGGCCGGGTACGGAAAGCCAGGGTGCATGCTCGGGTGGGGTGCCGGAGGGGGCGGGGCAGGCCCGCCCCCGGCCCTGGAGGTTGTCAGGGAGGCCGGGTAGCCACCCCCCAGGGGGGACGACGTCGACACGACGGCGGCGGGGGGACGCCGCGAAGAGCGGCGCGGGGAACGGGTACTGGTGGTGAGAGGGGGGGCATGGCTGGGGAAGGGGACGGGGTCGAGGAGGACTTGGGGTGCGGGGAGGGGTGGTGCGGGGAGGGAGGGGGCGGGGTAGGCAGCCCCGGCCGCTCCTTGGGAGGGGACGGAGGGGGCTCCGTTTTGACGTGGTGCGGGGGAGGACCCGGGTAGTCCACCAGGGGCGCCAGCGAAGCCGACGGGGAGGACCGAGGGGGCGCCGAGGCACCAGCGGCCGCCAGAGAAGATGCTGGCAAGCACGGGGAGGACGAGGGCGAGGGGACCGGCCCCCGTGGAGGGGCCCCCGAGGAGAGCAGGGGGGGCTCCCGCGAGGGCATGGGGGGCCCCTCCTGCGGCAGTAGCAGCGTCGGGGGCAGCTCCTCCTTGACGCGTACCAAGTGCTTCTTCATGCCCGCTGGTAGAAGCGACTCCACGGGGGGAGGCAGCACCGACAGGGCCACCAGCGACGGGCTCAACCCCACGGGGGGGCGAGGGGCGGCCCCGGGACAGCGGGGAGGACACCAGCCGCAGGGGCCGGGGCTCCTCCATCTCCATCTTGATGAAGGACAGGGGCTCCGGGCCACCGGGGGACCGGGTGCGGCCGCTCTCCGGCAACGACAGAAGCGGCGCCTGTGGAAGCAGCTGGTCGAACTTGTCGTCCGCCAGGGTGGGGGACGGGGGCCAGGGGCCCCAAGGGGCCCAGTGGCTGCCCCAGGGGGGTGAGGCCCCGGCCCATGGGCAGCTGGTGGGCCGGAGGGGGCACGGGCGACGACCGCGGCGGCACCGGACTGTGGCTCGGCGCCGAGCCCATCAGAGGCGACGGGCAGGGTGGACGCGCCAGCAGCGGGAGCGCCACGTCTTGCCCCATTGCCGGACTCCGTGCCTCCCTCGACATGCTGCGCAGAAGGTGGGAGGAGGCAATTGTCTTGCGTCCAAAAACAAAAAAAATTGTGGCGGCTTAGCTCGGCTATGCCAGGATATACGTAGCGTGAGCTTATGAGCACAAAATGAGAGGCGCTATCAAGCGGCTCCGGTGCAGAGTCAGGCTTGGCTACTGCGCAACGGAGGCGGACAGCTGGGAACGCGGCGGTGCCAGTGCATCTGCCGTGGTTATGACGTCACTCCTCTGGAATGTGCAGACCGGCGAGGCGTGCGCGGTGGCGGCGGAGCACGCGGCTGCGGCGTCTCCGGAGCGCCAGCTGTGCGCCGCGCGACGTCACTGCTCCTCGTGCTTGTGCAGCACAGAGCACGGCTCATTATGCGAGCCACGCGAAACTGCTCAACCTCGGCCAGTGTAGCTCACGCTACAAAAGCCACGACGAGAAGATGCAATGGCGTTTTTGATCCAGGCACGGGAGGGCAGGTGGCCGATACGAATAGGATTTTTATGTCACACCGTCTCTGCAATGACATTCCAACTGGAATGTTGGAGTTGCACGGAACCGCCGCGGCCACAAAGGCTAAGCCGTGGCGGCTGCCCAGACTTTGTGCAGTAGCAAAGTCGGGGCAAGACTTGTTGCTGGTTCGACATCCTCCAGAGCAATGCCCCACATCAACCACCAAGTAGAAAAAATTGACCACATCTCCACATGGTGAATGATGTTGATTGGGGCGAAGCTCTGGTGGTGCTTGTCTGCATAGACGCTGAGCCGCAGCATGCTGAGCCTTTCGTTCGTTTTTCATACATGTCAGAAAGAGAATGTGTGGTATAGAACGTGGGTTATATACGCATTTGAAATGTAGTTATATACACAATTGTTGCCGAAACGGCAACAAACGACGTCGCGAAAGACGGCGCATCACTTCGTTGGATGTCGCGATCCCGGTGCCCGATCGTGGCAATTACCACCAAGAAATATGAGCAAACGCAAATGTCGCCGTCATCGTGGCGTCCCGACATTTCCGTGGACCGTCAAACCACAGAAGCGACCTGCAAACAGAATGTCTGTCCGCCGCGTCACTGCCGGGAATCACTGCTGCGGGAGACGGCACGACGCTTCCACGCCGTCGGGTGGAAATCGAGGGACTGTGTTTGGGGATGGGGCGAATGCGCAGCTCAGCAAAGCATTCCAGGAACCGTGGTTGAGGAATGGTGATGGCGCACCTTTCGGGGGTCGGGGTGGCTCTCTCCACGATGGGGCTGGGCCTGGTGTCCTCCGGAACCGGCTGCAGGAGCGGCGGAGGCCCCGCGTTCTGCTGCGGCGGCACGGGGGGCTCCTCCGCGGCAGCGGGAGACGGTTGGAGCGCAGGAGGCGCAAGCGGCAGCACGGGGGCCGCCGCAGCGACGGGGCTGGGCGGCCGGCTGGAGGGACTGGTGGACTCCGCTTCGGGCTCCTCGGTCATGTTCTCTGGAGAGGAAAGAGAGGGAAAAGTGGCACGTAGGTTACGTTGGCCGAATCAAAGGAACGCCGAGAAGATGCACGAGCAAAAAATGGTGTTGCCAAGCATGTTTCAAGAGCCTCGCTCTAGCGATTGAAGACGGGAAAATCTAAATTTCCAGAGTACCGGTCCCTTCGCCCACCTGTGGCAGGCGGCGAACGAAATGGTCATGAACAAAAAGTAGATACCGCAATCAAACGTCTAGACGAAACGATGTGTACGGTGCAATTCACTCTTACATTTAGCAGTGGCGTAGCCAGGGACGAACCTGATAAACTTCAGGCCGGCCCCCCCCCCCCCCCCCCCCTTCCTTCCTTCCTTCCCCCCCCCCCCCCCCCCCCCCCCCCCCCCCCCCCCCCCCCCCCCCCCCCCCCCCCCCCCGCTGAAAAAAATTCCTGGGTACGCCACTGACATTTAGGGATGAAAAGTCGGATACAACTATTATAAACGACCTGCTTGAAAACTATTTCCTATAAAATTTGGGCAAAAATTATCTAAAAATAAAAAAAATATTACGAATAAAGTCTGGAGGACACGAAACATGCAGCATGTTTTGAGCTGCCCTGGGCGTTTATATAGGAGCATTTCTGAGGTCAGAAAAGCCTTTCTGAACTGCACATAATGTCTCTCCAGATATTATCCATAGGACAGATATATATTTAAATTCATTCTATCGCCGAGGCGCAACATGTTCGGCTTTATGCGGAGTCGAGATGTGTGAAACTTAACGAAACTGACCTGTGAGGAGCAACCACATCAGATGACCCACTGTAGTGCGACGTTCTAGAGACCACCTGACAGCATGTGGCAAACCAGTTACAGAATGCATGTAAAGATTTTTATCGAGTGAATGCTCAGAAAAGCATAGATTCTGGGCGTGCGTATCAGTGTGCAGAGATGCGTGTAACAATACATGTACCGTTACAACATACTACGTGTGGTCCGTAGCTTTGGCTGCAGTCAATGACAGTGAAAGATACTCTTAGGTGAGGGTGCTGGCGTGCACCCGAGTAACCTACGCTGACAGTGTCCCCGCCAACCAGACAATGCAAAAAATAAAAATAGAAAAGAGGCTGTATGAATGGCACTCTCTCGTAGTTTGAGTGCTGCCTAGGGCAGGATGACCCTTAGTCTTTTAGAGCCAGGGGTGAGTGGTGCTCTTAGTTAAGGAGGTGCCTAGGGCAGGTATAGAAACAATTATGTCATCAAATCACTTTCTCTCTGCATCGCTGCACGTGCTTGCATTTAGCACCACCCAGATACCAAGCCTTTGCATTGAATTTCCTGAATCACCAAGAGAGAGGAAGCGCGCTTTCCTGCCCTTCTCACTCCTGCTCGTTCTGCACACTCTTTTACACCACTTGTTCCTCCTTCTGTTATTTCTTGCACTTTCCAACCAATTCCTCTCTGCTCACTTCTCACACCCCCAGCTTCTTCTCCTCCCGTTCCTGCATGGCGAGATCGTAGCTCAGTCAACAGTGTGCTTGGCTTCCACGTTGGTGACTGAGGTTCTATCCCCTGCACTGGTTGTCGTTTTTTTTTTCCAAGATTGTTTAGCGTTTACGGGCTGACCAACCTACACATTTTGTGCTTACGCGGCTCCCGAGGTTGGTCGGCCCTATAAAGCTAGCACTTTAAAAGCGCCTCGTTGCGACGGCACCTGAGCGCACATGCTTTCCACTTGTCGCGTCTGCTCTGACCTCGACGGATGCCGGATCGAACACCGTGCTAGAAATCTCGCCGCTTCAACACGTTTATAAAACTGTTTTTGCCGCCGTTGAGGCACAAAACCAGGGTCAACGAAGAAGCTGTGTGTAAACAATGCGCGTAGCTCTACAAGACGCTGCAAACTAAGAAAACAACTTTATAAAGACAAGCACGTCTCCCTTAGAGAGTCATGGAAAACTCGACCCGCAACAGGCTACCACTAGCCACTAATTGAAGAGTCATTTGGTGGTACTGCTTGTGACCAAAGCAAGGGAAGGACTTTATCTGGCAACTGCTATGCGTTCTGCGACTACATACACCTTACACCACAGGCGAGACAAAGTGCAGCAGAAGCATCCTCACCCTCGTTGGATGCCGGGCCTCCCCCGGAGCTGCTGCTGCGGCTGGAGAGTGCTTCGGCTGGCCCCGGGGACTCGGCGGGGCTGTCGGCCCCCTCACTGCTGCCGCCCTTCTTCTTCTTGGCCGCCGAGGAGCAGAGCAACTTGTTGTCGTCGTCCTCGGCGCCCGATGGGGCGTTGGCCGCATTCTCCGAGGACGAGGATTCCTCGGGAGGGGAGGCCGCGTTGGCACTGGGCGTCGCGGCCGGGGCCGAGGCATTGCTTGTGGGTGTCGTCTCCTCCCTGCCCCTCTTCTTGCCCTTGGTGGGCGTCTCCGGGTTTCCCTTCTGGGCAACAGAGGGGAAGCACGTGAGCCCCCTCCGCCAAGTGAGGTGATCCGTCGTACGGTAAAATATGCTACAAACACCCGTCCTACTTTGAAGAGATAAATGGCGACAAATATTGGGTGGGCGATCTTTAAAAATGAGGCAGCAAAAGTTGCTAAAAAATGGCCGATAAACACCAAGGCTACCGCCATTAACCACATGACACAGGAACTGATACCGCAGACACGACAGATTCACGTTTCACGGTGCGATAAACAGATGGGATCTTGCCACAAACTCGCATATCACGGGAACCGATGTCGCGTGCGCATATCGCAGACAAGGCAAACCCTGGTTCCATGGTGCGACAAGAACACACAGGTCCTTGCTAAAGTTTGCGTGGCACGTGAACCGACATTGCAGATAATGGATGCAGCGGATTCGCGTTTCATGATGTGACAAGCACGTAAGAACCAACTAAAAACTTGCATGCCACGGGAGCCGATGTCATGAGCACAGATCGCGGACATGACGATTTCGGGTTCAACACGCGAGAACCTGCTACAAACTCGCTCATTGATGCGATTTTCAAACCCATGTCCCCTCTTAAAAGAAATATGCAAACACAAAACAAATTTTTAGTTGGCACCCGCGGAAGCCTGTGGACGAGTGGCAATAGCAGTCACATGACTAAAGATTGGCCATTTTCTGCTTGACGGGGTGTGGTGTCGCATGTTTTAGTTTCTAGCATGTCGGTTCCCCCAAAGCGACGCCGCTGCTCGCTTTAGGGGACTGGAGCCCTTCGTTGAGCAGCGGCGTCACTTTGGGGAAACTGACACGTTAGAAACTAAAATATGACACTGCTCCCATTCCAACAGAAAATAGTGAGTCTATTGCTTGTTATTGTACAAGTCAAAAAGAAAGTGATGATTTTCTTATACTTGTTTTTCAAGCATCAAAATATTTTGTTAAAAAAAGAAGTGTAACATAAAAACAATAATTAATAAGTAACTTTCAGAGCCCATAAGAAGCTCCTGAAAGAGTGCAAGCACCACATGACTAGTGGCCAGCTAGTTGCCACTTGTCCGCAGTCTCCCACAGGTGCCAACTACAAATTCGATTCGCACCCTAATTACAACAATTTCTTTTTTTATATAAATTTCTTTTATGAAAATTTTTTCCCATTCAAGCTGTTCAAAAAATTGTTTGTTTTTCCTTTGCCTATATTTGTTTGAAGCGCACGAGCCTAGAGATGCTGCAATACGTACTGCTCGCATTTGCAAGGTTCTCAAACGACTGCTGCTCAAAAAGAAAGTGACAGAGAGAGAGCACAGATTTCAATGTGACCTTATAAGTCATCAAACACGTTTCAAGAAGAGGGGTTAAGTGAGCAGGGGCACGACGCACCTTCTTCTTGTCCCTGTCCCCCGTGCTGGCGGCGGGAGACTTGCGCCCTCCCGGTGCCCGGCTGCTGTTGTTGGTGGCCAGGGCTCCGTCCAGGGCGTCCGGACTCGCCCCCTCATTGCCGCCCCCGTGCTTGCTCCGCCCCTTCGTGTGGTTCTGGTTCTGAGGGAAGAGGGGGTAGAACGAGCGTTGCAGACGACAAACCCGAAAGACAGGCGCCCACGTCGGTCCCCTCCTACGCTTTGTGCCAAGCCGACGGGGCAGTGGACACGGGCAGCACGCCAGAGCAATGCGTTACTCGGCCACAGTTCAGCGATCCCGGGGGCCCAACTGGGGCCTAATAGGGTTTTGCTCTATGGCATTAGTTAGTGCCAGACATGGAGGTAGGAAGCTTCTGAAGGTGACATGACGCCACCAGAGGTGAAGCCAGAAGTATGGAGAGACCCGCCCCCAACGACAACCAAAACAGTTCATACAGGAATCTTGTACAAACAAGTTTTAATACTTCCAGAAGTAATTGGGTTACTGTTGCAATTACTTCCTAATATATGTAATTAAATCATTACAAAATTACTCCAAAAAGTCATCAATTACGAGTAATTTGATTACTTGTAATGAGTAACCATAGAAGTCTGCAAGGAACTCTGCTACTTGGGGAAGCATCTCTTACCGGATCAACCACTTACCCTGCTTTTTAATTACCGAACCTCACACTCTGTGCGACAGTAAGTGCTCATCAATCATTGGAGTAAACAAAAAGCTGTGTGCAGCATTGCAAGAGGCACAGGTGTTGGCTTCAAATTTTAAGAATGCGCATACTTCGCGAGAGCGTGGTTGCAAAGCGAGCATCCTGAAACCTCCCCGTACAGTCAAGTCCAATTATATCGAACCTGGGTATTTCAAATTATTGTCTCTTTCAAACAGTTAAAACACTCCCCATGAGAATCTCATGCAAAAGTAGCCGTGTGCGTTTATATCAAACTTCGTCCTCCTGGGACATTCGACACACCCAACCGGGGGCTGAGCTTCCCCCGGTAAGGAGGCTTTCCCCGAACACGGTCGTCGCTGCTCTTGCGATTGGTTTGCGTGCGACAAAGCTGTACAAGGCAAGATCCTAACACGCGCCAGGAGCCACAAGCCGCGCGAAGGGACGCACGAAGCATGCTGGCTTATTGTTGGAGTTCGCAGCGAAAAGAACAAAAAGCAGAAAGGAAAACCAACACTTACTCGCCCCCCCCCCCCCCAACAACAAAAAAAAAAAAAAAAAAGAAAAAAAAAAAAAAGGCTTTAGCTTGTTGAGCATGTCAACAATCATACTTTGAATGACTTGTATCTTCGCTTATCATTTTGTTTTGCCGTCTTTTACGCTTAGTCTTTCGTCTTTTCTTGCTCTCTTTGATCCTATTGCTTTTTTTTTTTTTTTTTTTTTGCTAGTTTTGTTTTATGAATGAAGAGAGCGTTGCTTTTTTTAAACTTTTTTGTGCATCTCGCTTTTTCTTCCCCGCCCCCCCCCCCCCCTTTTTTTTTTCTTTTCGTGTATTGTCGCTTGTGTTGTTGAAGTGGTGACCATGCGTGCACAAATGCACATTGAAGTGACGGCGCGAGTGGCGGTGCTTGCGGTTCTTGCCAACTACGCTTTAACAGGTTTTAACAGTATTTGGAGGGGACCAACTGTCTTGCATTTACTGATAATTGAACAGGGTGGTGGCAGTCCCAGAGAAGCCGATTTTCGTGGAGTCAAAAGAAACCTTACGTACCTCCTTGTTCCGCCGGGTGCGCATGACGTGCTTTCCCCCGTGGACCCCGTCCCCGTCGACAGGTTTGAAGAGGAATGGGGAGGCCCCGTCGCCTCCCCCAGCCCCCTCCGGCAAGGGCCGGGCCGCCTCCAGGGGGCCCAGGGTGCCCTTCTTCTGCTGGCTCTGGCAGCAGTCCCAGCACAGCACAGAGCCCTCCTTGCCAGTCTGGAACCACTCCTTGGAACCTGCACGCCGGCCACGCCCCAATGCAGTGCTTGCCCGGGTTCGGAAAAGAGCCCTTGCTCCGCACCAATACGTTTGCCATTTAAAAAGACGTTGGCGCGAACAAGGTGGAAGCTAAGTTAGACAAAGTTTGTCGGAAGAACCTCGAGTTCTGGTGGGCCTTCCTGCACACAACTCAGGTAGACTCCCTGCTAACCAAACAAATTCTCCGGAATGTTTTCTGCAGTGGCAGAGCATTATTTCTGAAGGACACCTCGCTCAAAATACAAGCAAACTTTGGGTCAAAGAGTTGGCATTCTTGAGTTCTAGCCTCTTTTGTCCAGGCTCCCATGCACAAGAGTCACACAGGCCCAACTTGAATGGGGCAGGTGTCGGCGGCAGATCTACCAAACTTCCACAGGGAGGTGGCTTCTTTGGGCCTGCTAATACACCTAGTTAAGGGTCAGCAGCCGTTCCTAGTTTTCTCCAGCGGCTAAGCTCACAAAAGTCTAGCTCATTATATTCTTAAACTCGAAAAAGAAAAAAAGATATTACCTGGCAAAAAAAAAAAACTATTTCTAAACACATTACAGCAATATCACATCTGTGATGTCACTACGCCGACAGACTAGACGACAAAAAGGGAGACATACTGGTGGCGAGACAGGTGTGGCATGTGTAGGCCGGCACTTCCCGGGAATCAGAATCATCAGCAGACTCCTCCTCTTCGCTCGCTGAACTCGCATCCGCTGTTGGCAAAAGGTCAAAATAGGAAGCACTGAAAAAACTCACGAGCGAGTTACTAGGCAAGAGTTTCGACACAACTTCGACAAAAACCAGGGTCGAAACAGAGGTACGACACATTAGGAAAAATAATGCAGATAATTGCAGCTCATTAATCCAGTCAAAAAAAAACTTAAGGAGCGTTACCGACGGTAAAACTCGAGAATGGGCGACCTCTAAGCTTGCGTGTGACAACAACCATCAAAAGAGGGCGAGTGCACTGACCGAATTCATTTTGCGCCACTTTGGTCAGTCGGGATGATGGTCTGCTTCGCCGAAGCACGTTCTGTCGCCGGTGCCTCCGGTGAGGCCGGGAAGTCGCCGCACCTGGGGTCTTCTTCCACAGATAGTAGAACTCTACGAGGTCAGCCTGGGGCAGAAACGGGGCAAGGACAATTTAGACTGGATTAGCCTCAAGAAACAATTGAAACAACGTTCTTGGATACAGTAGAGGGCACTGATAGTAGCAGTGGGAAATGGTGACTGGCATGTCCTGGCAAATAAACAACAGACTCGCATTTCGGAGTTGCAAAACAAACGCTTCTTTGGCCTAAGGGAAGCTTTATAAACACGTGTTGGCCACACTCTTGTGCTATAAGAAGCGAGAGTTTTAATTTGTGCAACTTTTCCAAATTTAATGGGATATGCACAACTTGTCAACAACCGGTATTCTGTAGCATTAGGAGCCAAGTGCCATGCATTGTGTAAACACCTCTGTAAATAATAAACAATTGATATAAAAAAAAAAGGCTCGAGGTACACCTAAGCATCTCTTATGGGTTGTGAATGCAAGAGCATACATGCCGTTCCTCCACCCCCTTATTTCGTCTGCGGCGTACTTGCGTCGATGGCCGAGCGCACGCGCTCTCCTCGCCGCGCTGACTTTAGGCGTAGAGCGGTGGAGCCGCTGCCTCGCGGACACCCAGTGCCATGGGGGTGGCGCTAAGTGAAACCGACACTGCGGTGGCTTCATATCACTGCCGTTTTAGTGGACTTCTGCATGGTTTCAAAGCTGGGATTGCCCAGATCGCGGCTTCAGGAATTTATCTGCCGTTTGGCGCGGCTGACGACGTCAACTCACTCCATGAAACAGTTAATGCTTTCGCGTTAAAAGAAAAAAAGCACTTGCAGTGTTGCAATTACTTTAAAACATTTTGGAGGAACTTTCGGAGGTGCCAAAAGTCCACCTATTAGCAGCAAAAAAAATAACTGTTGCACAAGCAGACCCTTCATTCCACTGTAAACCCTATTTCAAGATTCATTTGTTGGCCTGTTCAAATAAAATAACACTGCTTCGAATTTGCCTTTTAACTTCAGTGCAACAACTCGTTAGCATCTATTGCAACGCATATAATTAAATTTCAAAAGTAATTTAGTTCAGCACATTAGTGGCTTCTTACACGTTGAGATTTAAGGTGGTGAAGTCAGCATGTGGAGAATAACATTGAACAAATTGTACTGTCACATATATGTGATCAGTCAGCATTCACCAACTTTTTTTCTTTAATACACGACAATCGGTTGTGTATTATTTCACCCTATAAGTGTGTTTTATATCCCTCAACACAAGGCTGCGCTGCGGACGCAGCTTCTCTCTAGTGCAACAGTGCGCGGTAAGAAGTGCATTCAACGGAGCTAATTAAACTGCCCGAACAGGCCACAAACAATGAGAAATATCTGGAAACTTCTGAGCACTGAGTTGCGTTGGATACGAAGATTGCATCAACTCGCAGCTTACTCAGAGCGACACACAAACACTTTTGAAAATTCGCACAAGCTTACAGTAACAATCTGGCAGTGCAGCGATGCCTGAAGTATTAATTTCTGTTTTGATAAAGTAAAATGAGCTTCTGGCACAGCACCGGCGCATATCACCCACATTTTGGTGAAATGCAGCAGGATGTAACAGGGTAAGCACTTTGGCACAGCAATCGCACCACTGCACTCGTTTAACTTCAACCTGGTTTTAAGAGTCTTAAAAAGATGTGCAGGAGGTTCTGGTGACATTAGCCGAGAGAAAATGTACATGCAGAATTGGCCATTAAGCATTTCAGGCATCCCAAGTTACAGCACCTGGCAATTGAGAGCTGCCCAGGCGTGAGAACTCTGGCCCCCTACAAATAATGGTTCCAGCCCAGAATCTGAATTCTACCAGGCAATGCTTCGGCAGTTTATAGATTCGACCGGAGTTGTTGACATTGGATAGCCAAGGACGCAAGGTACTCACCGTTTCCTTGTGAGAAAGCAGCTCCTTGCGGATTTTGAAGAAATTCTTGCCATACTGCCTCAATCCTTTCACAAAGCGTTTCTGTGACAGACAACAAAAACATCATTTAGAAGGAATGTGAGGTAGCAGTCAAAAATTGTTCCAGAATCACTTCCTTGTTTTCCATAATTCCCTTCACAGTTGTTAGAAATATTGTCATGTCATTGATACTACAGGTTCTTATGTGATTTCTAACTTTTATAGAAAATTCTTCACAATAAACTTCCCATTCCGCCGGTCTTTTTATTACAGCTGCCAACCGATTTTTCGGAAGCCGATAATTCAGACTTGTTCAATATTTCTGACCTACCTGATAGACATAGAAACTGTGTGACCTACCTGATAGAAATAGTGCATTATCATAACCAATGTTTTGGACAGCTTAAAGTCCGAAAGTTTGATTTTTCGGACAAAATCGTCGCGAGCAATCAGCGGGAAGGGACGCCTTCTTTTGGACTTTGTCAGGGTGCAGTCACGTGACAACAGGGATCACATTTTAGCCGCCATTTTAGATTCTATGTTGGCTGCACATGGATTGGCTTGGTTTGGCAGTGCTACTTGAGTCCTGTTAAGTCCTACCGCTAGGTGACGCTACGCTACAGATTTTTTTTTTTCTTCTCTAGCTGCATGTCATTATCGTCATCATTGTTACCATTTTTCTTTGTTCAGTCGCCACTCTGCAGTCGTGGACTTGTGCCTCTCATATCGCCTTCGTAAATCATAATTTCGGACTACGCTGGTGCTGCAAAGTGCCACTATAGTTGGTGACAGGTCAAGAAGGAAGTGGAAGCTCCTCCCACCTCTTTCCACTTCAGTAGAGTGAACACTGGAGAGGAGGTAGCCTGCTCTACAGCATTCGCTCTACCAAAGGGGAGAGAGGTAGGAGGAGCTTCCAAGCTCTCTTAACCTGTCACCAACTAGAAAAAGCGCAAAAAGTACTCGACCATAATGCTAGAAAAGAAGGCAGCGATTTTCAAGCTAATGGAAAGTGGCCTTACGCAAGCGGAGGCGTAACCTGAAAGCAAGGCACTATTGCTTAGACGTAATAAAGGTGAGTTTTTTTTGTTTGCTGATTTTTCGTGCTGCTCTATTATTCGGACGTTTTTTCGGTTCCTGCAAGTCCTAAAAATCAGTCGGCGACTGTATTATTATTTTTTATTTGAACTAGAGTGAAGGGCCACTTTGGGTAACTATTATCTTTTTTCTCCAGGTGTTTTACTGATGTGGTGTCTCAAGAAGCTTTTACCTTGACTGGAATTTCATATTTCATTTTCTTTGTCTCAGGTTTTTGTGGATGAATGGATGGATGGGTATTAACGACTGCACTCTTTATAATGGGCGGTAGCTTGCACCACCTAGCCTAAAAACAGATATTCTGACGGACAGTTCACTATAGGTTGCCAGAGCCTGCCGATTTCATTAAGGTTTCAGTGTACAAGCACTACGAAGAGTAAGAATCCTTGCTAGTGTTCCGCCGGAGATTAAGCCCAAGTGAGGCAGGTCTCTTACAAATGCTAAAGCCTCCAATAAAAAAATGAATTAAATAAGAGAGCCAGAAAGACAACAGAAAGGCAACGACTTTCTAAACTGCAGTGTATTTGAATTGGCTCCTGCAAACTTCCATTGATCGTTGTTGAGTCAATGACTCTTTCCTAGTTCAGTTCAGTCATGTTCCAGTACAGCCCCCAGCCTATTGCATTTCATATGCACCGCGTGCCTTGGTTCGTACCCGCTCCTGCAATGACTCTTTACTCCCTTCCCCTGTGGGACCTTCAATATCAAATAAACGAGAAAGAAGAGTGGTGGTTGATGAGCCCCACAGATGGCAACGAAAGGCTACCAGAGCCGACCGGTGCAGGTGAGCTGCTTGCACGGGACTTGAGCGGACACGAGGCACAAGCAATCATGGGCAGATTCCAACCTTCCTCGAAGCATCACAAAATCAGTTCCCAGCTCCCAAGATTATTAAAAGGTTGTTGGTAATGCAGAAGACAACCTTTCTTCCTGCACTACACAAGTATAGCTGGGGACAAAATCAAAGTACCCCCACCCCACCCCCTTTCCTCAATTTGGCACAAGAGGCCAGCCCACCTGGTCCTCATCCGTCCACTTCTTGTCCAGGCCCCTGGGCACAGGGTTCTTGACCAGGGCCTGCAGTGCTCTGCCCGTGTCGTAGTTGCTGTCGTGCAGCAGGTCCAGGGCGTTGATGGTTGTGTCGTCACGAGAGGCCGCCAAACAGCCGTCCTCTGCCGAGCCCCCGTCGCACATACCCGCAAACGCCGCCATGCTCCTGTGTGCCAACCCCGCCGCGCACGCATGCGTGTGTAGCATCGAGCAACGCGGAAAATTAACTCTAAGCACGTGACCGAGACGGTAGCAGCTCCGTACGGTTTCGTGCCAACCTAAGGCTTACTTTAGATAAAGCAATCTTTCCTGCAATGCCGGGGTTGCAATATTACTGGGATCGAAATTGACGAAATGGTTAGTGTAGGTTGGGAACATTTGAGGTGGCGGCAATCAATGACGAACGCAATATTGTGCTGCTCACTGGCACGCTCTCTGCCACCGAAGGAGCTTCGTCCTTGTCTTCCTAGCATTGAAGATTGTCTAGATGGAGGTTTGGGTGAGTTGGCGATTCGCAACAGTAGCAACGGCATAAAAAAGACAAGGACGAAAGGTGAAGACATGCAGAGGAGGACCAGAACTTTTGTTTGTCCTTCTGTGTGCATCTGCTCCTTTCGTCCTCGTCTTTTTTGAGCAGTTATTATTCCTAACCATATTTTCATTTAATTCCCTGTGGTGGTGGTGGTGGTGACCGACAACCGAGGATGGGGTTTAAGTTTGTCCTGGCACGCTACTAATCGCTCCGACAGGCTAAAGGCGCGTTCACACTCTTGCAACCGAGTACGACCGAGAAAGACTTCTTGGGACCGGATGCGCTGAGCGGAGCTGGTCCTAAGAGATCGCAAGAGGCTTAAAAACCGGTTTGGTCTCTCTCGGTCGTACTCGGTTGCAAGAGTGTGAACGGGCCTTAATGGCTCAGGCAGATCGGTTAGTAATAGACCTATTGCTAAATTACCCAAGCATCAAGGAGAATGCAGGGATTTGTGTTCCATGCGGCGCATGTGCTGGCATCAGCAGTAGTAATTTTTTCAAAGCAAATGCCTATAACAAATTGCATCTTGCACGCTCGTTCGTCAACGCTTTATTTTAGTTATTTTCTTAAAATCTTTTATACGGGGAAGGCGTGCAGATGTGGCACGTGGAACACCAATCCTTGCATTCTCCTTGATGCTTGGGTAATTTGGCAATAGGTCTATCGCGATGTGCGAGAGAGTGCCAGTTTGTAGATGATTGTGACAAAATGTAGCACACTGACGTGTGTCGACGTGGGAGGCCAGAGCTGCAGCTGTTTCATCGAAATGCCGGGGAAAGCACCATTGTGTGAAACCGGTCCGAGCAGAGGCAATCTGCCCAGTCAATGTGTTCCGACTCAAGTCTGCAGCATTCTCTCGTCTCGTGTCTCTCGAAACTGCATTGTAAGGGCAGGTCCGACCCCCCCAGTCCGGAAGAGGAGCAGAGAAAGGAGGCCCACCTGGCCGCCCTGAGGTACATCATGAGGTCGCAGTCGGGTACCCCGGGGGTCCAGCGCAGCTCCTCCTGGGGCATGCCCCCGGCCCCCTCGTGGCCTGGGGGTGCCGAGGCGGGCCTCAGCTCGGGCAGCCGCGCCTGGTGGCCCGGCCCCACCCGGATCTCGCCCCCGGGGGCTGGGGGCACCTGCGCTGCCGCCGGGGGCTGGGGGGGCACCGCTGCCCCCTCGCTGCCCCCCGCCACGGCTCCGCCTCAAGGGGGGGTGCCCGAGCCTCCTCCGCCTCCTCCTCAGCGGCCCCGCTCCTCCTCTGCGGCCACCCCGGGGGGGACAGCCTCCTCCGGCCGCGACGCACGTCCTCTCGCTGCTCCTGTTAACGATGCGGCTCTCATTAGCCTGCGGGACGTGCGACGGGTCCCATAGAAAAACATGGGCTAGCATGCATTTGCACAGCATCCCATTTTTAGTATTTCCTCCTTCGCGAGCCTTATCTCTCTCTCTCACACACACATCTGCAAATCTTCTGCAACAGTTGCACCACAAGGATTTGTAAAAAAGAGAGATGGAAAGATGATAGATATGTACTGTCTCTAAGAAAATTTTATCACCTCAAATGAGGCGCCTGCTACCGTATTCATAGATCTCGCGGGCGTCTCAAAGGTGGAAGCATAGCGTGGTAGACATTTGGTTGTATCGCCTGTACAAAAAGATACAGAGTTGATCCTACTAACCCCCAAATTAAGAAAAAAAAGAAAAATGCAGATTATTTTTATTGATGCATGAAGTTTCCCAAAGGGTCTGAGAGGGTTTTGAAAGTTTATTTGTTTCTTTCATTTAGCTTTCTTTTGCATGTTTGCCTGTGCAGTGTATCATTTGAACGTACATCCCGACATGGGGGTGAAATGGGAAAGGTTTTGCCTGAAGAAGCTCATGCCAAGGGAAAATCGGGGACAGATCTCTACACATAGAGTAGGAGACTGTTGCTCGTATGACAAAATATGCATTTGGCAGATATTACAATTTGTTCTGCTACACAACTGACACCTCATGATGGCATTCTACTCGAAATCTTTTACACCGATGTACCTTACATTTATTAGCCACCCCTCACTACACACAAACAATGTTAATGATGACAATAATGAAGAGGATTATTTGGAAGAAACTTAAAATAAATAAAGCTAGAACTGTTAGGTCCAAGGCTCATAACGGGTGTAATTAGCCACTGTGTCTTCTTAGAGTGGCGACATCAGGTCATTTTGCGGCACAATTCTTTACTCTGGCGAAAAAGAGCAGCTCTCAGCTCAAGTGCTTAGCTTTGACCGGCGCAACAGCGTAATTTTGGCTTATCTTATTTCTTTTTATTTGCATGTCATTGGCAATGGGTACTAGAAGGAATGGCATTGCCCTAAAAGAACACCATTCAGGTACCTTAGCGTCAAACGCACTTCAAGCTGGCCAACTCCCAAGTAAAAAAAAAGATATAATCAAATTGTATCTAAAAAGTTCTGAAAAGCTTGATCACCATTCAAACTACCAGACATACTTTTCTTATAGATTTGGTTTTCTGTTTTTTTAAATGCTTTTATAAAGGTGTCACCTGCTACGTGTAATGCGCCTGTCAAAAATGCCTTTGGGTAAATAAAACGAAAGAAAATGAAGGAATTGATACGCTTTGTGTAGTGCATCTGTCAAAAATGCCTTTGAGTAAATAAAACGAAAGGAAATGAAGGAATTGATAATGCGAAAATATGTATAACACAAACAATTTTTTGCAAAATCATTACGGACCTTAGATATCTGAAAGAACTTCTAGCCCTTGTTTGCCGTAAATGCGTCGTGTGTCAAATTTTTAGGTGGCATGACAAGCCTCAGGGCAACCACTTGAATAAAACATTCCACAATACATTCAAAAAAGGGCTTGCAATCGTTCTCCATGTCCCATTTGTGGAAGATAAGTTACGTACTGGGCCGAACCAATAAAGGCTTGATGCCCAACAACAGTCCCACTGCACGACCACGCTACAAGGAGAACAGTTGCCGTACGAGGTTCATTACTTGATTATAGGTACCTCTCCATTTAAAATGGCTGTCACACCATGCCCTAAGGCAGGGGTGCTTAATTCAAAAATGACGTGCGCCAAAAAATGTTCATTGGGAACTGCAAGGGTTTTCAATATCTGGCATCAATGCAATGGTTGCAGTTTTGGGCATATCTCGCAGTGCCATGTCAGCGGGCCGCATGTTGTGCACCCTTGCAAGCGATGAGTCGACAGATTAAGCATACACCTTCAGGATACTTTTTTTAAATGCAGTACCAATGGTGAAACATTAGGGCTTTGTGGCCTCTTCCATGGGCCACGTTTTTATGTCCATTGGTAACCAAGAACAGTGAATAATACTTTTTTTTTGGTTCCAACAACTTCCTGAGCACCACAGCCAAGATATAAAAAGACCCCAACAAAATGTCATGTTATGGACTCTGAAGCATGCCACACACATGGTAATAAGTGCTAGGCTCTCTTTAAGCCTGCAAATGAGCACAGAAACATGATGGCCATCCATGTTTGTCAGACTGTTAAAAACAGCAAATTCACACACACACACAAAAAAAAAAGCTCTGTCAACATCTTTTAGAAGTTCCCCGGTATTCCCCGTGTAATATAACTTGAGACAGAAGAAGCGAACAGACACAAACAGCCAGGAACAAGGTCTCAGCAGAATGAAGACTGACCGTGCTTTGCACTGTTTTTGTACTTCAGTGTGAGAACCTTACAAACATTGCAGCCTTCAGTTAATATCAGTTTATACCTCTTTCACGTATGCAAATCCTTAGACAAAAACAAAACAAGAACATGTCTACTCCAGTCAGTGGAATGTATGGTGCCCACAATGTCCACAAACTAATAAACATTTCAATCAAACCCTTTGGTACCTCGCTTATTCTTTTCGAAGTTCTAAAGGAGGCCAGACTTCCCAAATTTCTCCGAATTCTGCATCAAACCCCTACATTAAAAAAGGCACATTTACAGCAATGACGCTCCAATCTTTCAGGCACTCAGTCTAACTCTAACTCACCTCAAATGCTTTCAGACACTCACCGACCATGCCTGGAGGCATGGTCGGTGAGGCTCCATCTTTAAAAAATAACTTCTCAGCAACAACAAAAAGTACTCTTCATTTTTTTTTTTTTTTTCATATGTTGAACAGATGAGGTGGATTGAACTTTTGGCTATTTCAAAAGTTGCAGGCACCGTTGTCCACAATGCTTTTTCGGGTTCTCAATAAGGTCATTTTTGCATGAACTGAAAATTTTGTCATTCAATTAAAATGCAAAAAAAAACAAAAAAAAAACGTCTTTGGAACTTTAAGAGATGCAGTTCAATTGTTAGTTCTATGAGAACAAAAAAAAAAAAGAAAAAATTTGTAGTTAACACCCAACTCCAAGATGACTAAAATATTAATTTTTTTACACTGAAGGATGCCAAAATGGCATCCCTCAGTGTTTTTATTTTAATGAAACGTAAGGCATATTATTGAGTAATTACGTGCCCACCTAAATCTTCGTGGTAAACAATCGTTTCTTCAAAATGTTTTTTCTTAATTAGACAAGTTTTATGCAAATTCCAGAAGTTCAAGGCATAATATCATCAAAAATCTAATTTGTTCACAAAAAAAAAAAAAAAAAAAAAAAAAAATAATATATATATATATATATATATATATATATATATATATATATATATATATATATATATATATATATTAGTTTAAAGGTTTCTTTATCTACATTAATTTTTTTGTACATATCACAGACATGAGAAAATTGCTGCATCTCCTTTGGCATGGAATAACCCATGTGCTACTTGGCAGACAATCCCAACCACAAAACAAGGTTGCAGGCTTCTTGGGGATGGGATATGCAACAACGGAACACACTCGTTGTCCCCTGCTCTTCTTGCCAGCTGCCTCTTCATTCATAATACACAGGCGCTCCAAGGTTATCTGCAAGCTGACACCTCTCCTAGATAGTATTGCAGTGATGTGCTTTTTTTAGCTGCTGCCCTGTAGTGTTTGCTTGCTTGCACACTGCTTGTGTTTCCTTTTCTGCTCAAGTTTCTGTATGTTTAAAAGAGGACTAAGTCAACAGGATTGCACATTTCTTTCGGGTTTAACACAGAACATATTTTGTTGAATATGTTTTTTGTAAGGGTAACTTGGTGAAAACACAAGATGCAAAACCAAGATGCACAAGCATTATGCTAGCTGAATCTCCTCAGATGTGCATTCATTAGTGCATCATAACACAGGTGCCTTCTGGTCAGTACAGTGAAGGTAGTGGCATTACACCTTTTGTAGCAGGATTTGTAGCAGAAAAAAATATTGGTTTGGAGCAGCGACTGACATTTTTGGAGCAGGTGCCAACATCTGTTAGCAGGTCACTTCAACATGAAAATGTGATTGCATCGCTAATGAGTTCATATCTGATAATGATTGAGAGTTACTTTTGATACTAAAGCATATTACTTATTCTTTTTGTAGTAAGAACAGTGCTATGATGCAAAAAACACATAAGCTTCTTTAGAAATTAGGCTCAGGTCAGAGTAGGTTCAATTTAAAATGAGTATTTAAGATGTGTAGAAAAATAAAGCCTAGCACAAGACTTCAGTTAAGATAAGGCTCCTCTCTTCTTCTCTTTTACAGCGAATAGTTAAATTAGCCTGTAAATATAATTCCTGCAAAAATAAGCATATCTGCTAAAATGTCTATAAACCACCTTTTTCACGAAGTTTATAAACACTGAACTCAAGATTATAATTTTTATAAACTGCAAAAACAACAACCAGCAAATATTATGAAAAGCTACATTGGAGCTTTAAAAGCGACATTGCGCTTTAGCCGGCGTTTGAACCAGAATTGAGTCAAAGTTTGCTGCCCTTACGATTGACGACTGCACGGGAACTAACTTGACTAAAGTATTTATTCAAACAAAATTAGAGATCAACCTACAGTCAATAACAAACAAGGTCAATCTGTAATAGTACTAAGCATGATTTTCAAGCCAATCGTGCTAACCCAAGCGCTCTCCACATCAGCCGCTGCTCCTCGCACTTTGGTACAAAGCAGTGAAGCTCGAAGCATGCACGCTGGTGTAAGACTGTGAATGTTAACATGATCGGTACCAGTGCCACGGTAAACTGTACTCATGGCGTGGAGGCATGTGGCAGATACGATAATCAAGTGGTATCAACAGGAGCAAATGACCCTGGTTCTGTCTTGTTACAGTACTCGCTGTTCCATTATTTTGCACATTTTTCTCGCAATTTTTAGCTCCTGCGTCTGAAAATTCAGCCGAAGACGGGGCCAGCA